TTTAACATGCAACCACTGGTTGACATATTAGCCCTACAGTCACATTTTTATCCAAGGCCCTCCCAAGTGGTCCTAAATATGCTCATTCGATGACAAACCTTGGGTATCAAGCAGCCCAAGGCAGGGTGGTAATGTGGCAAAGGCATTTCTGTGAACTCTTGCTCTGTGTGGCCAAGCATTATCTAGTTGAAAAAAGGCTTCAAGGAGCCCTGCCATGACTTATACTTACTTATATAAAGTTTCGTTTCATTCTGACAACTATTTCTAGGTGAGCAGCGATGGTTCAGGGGATAGAGCGTTCGTTTTCCAATGAGGTGAACCGGGTTCGAATCCCAGCAATGACTGGTCGATACGAATTCCGCATCCGGCTTGCACCGACCTCAGTGCTGGCGTGAAATATCCTCAGTGGTAGACGAATCATGGGTTAGAGTCCCTTTGCCATCAGGCTAACCGTGGGAGGTTCTCTTGGTCTTCCTCTCTATGTAACGCAAATGTGGGTTAGTTCCATCAAAAAAGTTCTCCACGAAGGCAAATTTCTTCCACTACTTGATACAAGAGTTCCCTTGCCTTCTGGATTGGGTTCAAAATTACCAGGCTACGGAGTTGAACATTAGTAGTCGTAAACCCGTAAATTTGAGTCGGCTGTTTAACGATGGTTATGAAATAAAATAAAACTATTTCTATGTGAGCTAATTTTTATGGCAATGAGTGTATTTTGGATTTTAAAAAAATTATGATACATTTTAAGCTTTTTTTTCTTCTTCTTTTTTTAACTTTTAAAATTCTTTTTTTTTTTCAAATTTTACTTAGGAATCCCTTGAAAATAGCTGGCCTCAAGTTGGAATAGTTAAACCTAGTGGAATTTCACAACTTATTAAAGTAAGTTTTAAAACTCATTACCACTGCTACTTATATGAAAAAATCCGAATCTTTTATTTGTTAAAAACATTCACAAATCACTTCTTTTTTAAATTAATATATTTTTTAACATCTAATTCACCATAATAACCTTTTTGGTCAAATTGAAAAAATATCCCAATACGCCCAAATTCTGAAAATGTGAACTGTAGGAGGTAAAAATTAAAACTCCTTTCACTTTTGCAATATGAGATTATACTTATTTTCAAATTATTTTTGACTGTTGGATATTGAACCTCGAGAGATTTGAAATTCTACTTATTTCAAAAGACACACCAGCTGGGAGGTATATACAGTACATTCTCGATTATCCGTGTGCGGATTATCTGTTTTGCGGATTATCCGTGCTCATTCCGGAGTCAACAAAAAATTTAAACAGAAACATTTTCAAGATTAAAAAATTAGTTATAACACTATCCAATTTTTGGAAGCAATATTCGTTATTGGATTGCAGTATATGGAATATCAGCAACATGGTCAAAGGTAAAATCGTCTACGTTATCACGATCGCGGATAAAGATTATACCCCTTGTTGAACAATCTTCTTCAGCAACTCAAGAAGAATAAGATAATAGTATTCTTAAACAAGCAAAATAAATCGAAGGTTTCGAAAATCTTGATGAAGAAAATTTAGAAGATTGGTTTCAAAATGATGCATGTGAACCTGGCTTCCAGTATTTGACAGATGAAGACATCGTTATGTTGTTAAATCAAATAATGATGATAGTAACAGATGCAGAAGATGTAGTAAATGAAGGAAATACAATTTCTCATTCTGCTGTTCTGTGGAAACTTTATTAGATTATATGGGAGTATTTGATTACGGTGACATTAATGCGGTTCGTAAAATGTGTGACAATATATGGAGCATTACACATTGTTTTGAAAGGAAAATTCCTAGTTTGATGTTATACAGCATGCAAATGTCAGTAATTTTTATATTTTTTGTATTGATATTGATTTTTTCTTTAATAAAAGGAGTTTTCGGTTTATCTGTGTTTTTCGATTGTCCGTGCGACCTGTCCCTACAATTAACCCGGATAATCGGGAGTGCACTGTACTAACAAGATACCTACCTACTTGTGTGTGTTACGGGTATATTTTAAAATAGTAAATAAAATGAAAATGTAAACATGAAATTCATGGTTTTTGCTGCAAACTCTATAATTGAATATATTGAAACTATTTTTCGATAAAACTTTGCCAAGTTAAAAATTATTTTAGAATTCCAATTTTTTAACATGCATAAAATGTATAAAATTGTTTGCATTTTTACAAAATTTAGAAGATTTTATTGTTTTGATGGTATTTAAAGAAGGTAAAAATTTATCTTTTGATAAAACTTATTGCGATTTAATACAATAATTTTCAGAAACATCACAAGTTATTTTTTAACACCTTCTGTAATAATTCATTCATATTTATCGATATTAAAGTATATTAAAAAAAAAAAACATTTAGATTTTGATTTAACATGGCTTTTACAACAATGTATCGCGGATATCTTTTCAGCTGTTTAGAATATCGCGGATATCTTTTCAGCTGTTTAGAATATTTGAAAAAATTTACAAGAGATTATTTTAGACTTGTCAAGGAGTCGAAAAATGAAACAAAACTTGGAAATAAACGCAAAAGCTGCTTTACTTTAAAAAAAGGTTTTAAAAAAGTCAGCTTCACTCGTTTAAACTTTCCAATTGTTTAAATTTTACGCCTATGATAATAAGGTAAACCAGGTTATAGATCACGGCTAGAATTCTCACGTTTTTTTTAATGCAGTATATTACAATTTAAAAAAAAGAGCAAAATATTGAAGAATTTACTCTTTCAAAGCATTTTTTCCAAAAATTCGCTTACTACATTTTAACATTAAGATTAAAAAGAATAATGTATTAATATTGAATAAGTTTTTATAACCATTGCATTGTGGTTAAATTGTATTCTTCTTCGTTTATATTTACTTGTAAGATAGTTTTAGAAGTAAAAATTTGGATTTTTGCTTGAATAAAATGGAATAATCTGTATTACTATGATGTCTTAAGGAAGAGAATGACATTCTAAAAATTTATTTATCAGTGGTCTGTTTAGAAGAAATTTGGGTCCGTTTATCTTTTCATAAAATCGGACCCTTCACAAAATATTTTAACTTAAAAACGGACCCTTCACAAAATAATTTTTCTTTTAATTGGACCCTTCACAAATTTGTTTATCTTCATTATTGTTTTGTTAATCGAATAAACCCTTCCCAGGGCAGAAAACAAGAAAGATGGATGTAAACGAATTAAGTTTTGTCTTCGGCAGACGATTCTTCCATTATTCGTCCGAAATGAATATTCTGCGTTCAGCAGTATAGGCTAAATACCAAATATTTGTATGTTGCATCTCTAATTTAGAAGCAGCAATTGCTGTTTATTTCTGAAAATTTAATTTTTTTAATTATAATTTTACAGTGTTGAGCAAAATCTTGGTATGTCTTTACAATTTAAAAACTCCTTGAAAAAGTTTTTTTTGCAATAACGGACCCTATTTGCACAAATTCACAAAAGCAGACCCTGGTTGAAAGAATGTGACTTGATGTTTATTTTATACTCACAAATTGCTAGTAATTTTTTCACAATTTTAGAAAAACGGACCTTTCACAAAATGTCTGGACAGACCCCTGTTTATATAATAGATGAAACAATTGAAATTCCAAAATTTGATAAACTAACTTACATATGCTATTAAAAATCCTTATTTTGGTTCGATTCGTTCTGTACATAGTCATTTAGTGCATTTTTGAAGCATAATAAGCTGTTCCTTTTTGTGGCTTTTACAGAAATCATCATTGCCTCTGTTCAAAAGTTTCAGTGATTTTCTTGAAAATAACCCCAGTGTATTCGTCTCGAGTGCAGATGAAGGTGTCCAAAGAGTTCGCCAATCGAATGGAGGATACGTACTTCTAATGAATTCAGCCAAAAGTTCTTATGAAGTTCGCCAAAAACCTTGCAATCTAATTGAAATTCACGATCCTTATATCTATGGCGGATTCGGAATCGCAACTCCTCTTAAATCACCACTGAAGTAAGTTTTTTTTAGTATGACACTCATTGATAAGGATAAACATAACTAGGGAATATTGTCTGTCTAACTAAAAACCTCTCCTCGCCTGTTGTCTAGAGCACTGTCGGTGATTATAGTTAAGAGGTTAAACTATTTCAAGAAGGACTACGCAACAAAAATTTAGGGATACACAATAAAAATTAGGGACTTGTTAAAACGCTCTTTTTCTTGTTTCCATTGCAGGCGACAATCTCTATCTTTGCAATGGGAGGAGTTGAGTTGTCTTTTAGACACACAGTGCTCTACAACATTTAGGAGACATTTTTTTGCTAAAATATCCGTTGCTTAGCAACCACTGGAGAAAATCTGGTATCAGTATCAATAGGGAAAGAGACAAAATTTTGTTAAACTCGTCTCAGTTACCAATAAGGAATTTTATAAAATTTTTACTGTACGAAAAGTTATTCAACAGAATTTTCCCTAAACATTTCAAAGTATTTGTAAGACATTCTTGAAAACATCCAAACATTGTACTTCCAAAAATTTCCTTAACTGTACGGCTAATAGCTCTCAAATAAAATTAAATCACATTACTCGGAATTAAAATCACATCATCGAGTTTATCGATCTAATCATGATCTATGAGGTTTTATAAATAAACCCTATTGGGTTTTCCAGAGAAAATTTCAATTCCAAACCATGTCTAAATTCCACACAGTATTACTTCCTAAATAACATGGTTTAGTTTAGTGATTACAAAATACAGCCAATACCCTCTAGAAGAGAATAGGCTGCAGCACAGGTTACCATAAACAAGAGTAGTCGAAACGTAATTCTTTACATAAACGTAGTCCTTTAGTAAACGTAATTCTTTACTAGTCAAAACGTAATTACATGTTCCTTTCATATTACCCCCACTGCGCAGCTTAGTAGCCCGAAAAAAGTGACATTTTTCTCCACTGCGCAGTTTATGTTCGTTACGTCGAACTACTAAATTGATTCATTCTGAAGCCTTCTCTCTTCTAGTTACAGTCCATATATTAAATTTAGGAATAATTTTCCTTTTTCGATTTTGTTATAAGATTATTTGAATGATTTTCAAAACTAAGTTTATATTAGACATTACATAATTATTAAACATTTCATTATTTTAGAAATAAGATCAATGATGTTTTGGCTTCTCTGACATCAAGTGGATTTATAGGTGATCTTCATAGAAAATGGTGGGTAGAATCTAATCAGTGCAGGGATGGAATTGCTGTAAGTGTATCATATTTTTATGCATATAGATATAGAAGAGACTAGTGTCTAGAAATTTGTAACTGATACCTATACATTTCGATTTTTTTTATATTAAGTTACTTTTAAAATACAATAATACAGACTTCGTAGTGGTTTAAAATTAAAATTAGAACTACATTTTACGAAAAGTAAGAACAAAATCAAGACTTTTTTGGTACAATACATGCATACTAATGGAACATTTATGGAATTTTCTTATGCACAGATTTGAGGTAATCGCAAAACTAATAACATCCAACTTAACTTGGTTAAAAGTCGACAAAAAATCATTTCAAAGGAGATTTTAATTTATTTTGCCGCTTCCAACTGTAGCTTTTAACGAATCTGACGTTTTATTATGAAAATATTTTCTTTTGAGGCAGTTTTATAATGAAAATGTTATGTCATCTTAATATTATTCCCAGCTTTTTACAAGTAAAATTAAATTTAAAATAATTTTTTGAAATATATATAGATGCAGAGGGTGTTTTGTAATCACCTCAGCAAATATATATTATTAGTTTAAAATCCTTGCCAGAAATTAATTATAAACAAATGCACGCATCCAGAAATTAATTATACACGAGTCACAAAGTGATATTTAAACGAGGGAAAAAGAAAAATTAAAACTTGTTTGATTGCCTGTGAAACAGAGAGAAGTTGAAAGGGATTATAAGAAACAGCTACAAGCTTCATCTGGCTACCAAATAGATTTTGTTGTTTTCAAACCGTCATAAATAGAGATTCGTCAAATGTAAACATTTTTATTTTCTTCTCCTCGCTTAAATACATTTTTTTTTCTATTTTATTATCGACTAGGATTCTAAAAATATACATTTTGACCAGAACACTCCGTAGGTTAAAGTTACTCATTCTTTGCACAAACCTAAGCCCCCTCAAAAAACGAGATTGTAATTTTAAAAATACATAAGTTAATCTTAAAAAAGTTATCCTTTAAATTATTGCTGGAAAAATATGTAATAAAAACTTCATTTTAATGCTTTTTCGTCCTTTAGAATACAGAAATTTCACCAGGAAGCATTCATTCTTTTTCTGGACTCTTCTACCTCTTAATAAGTGGATGTATCATTCTTGCAGTTGTATTTGCCATACAATTCATGCGAAAGATTCAACGTAGAGAAGATCGATTGCAACAGGTATTATATTGATATCTTTGATTCCTTCCTTTGAAATTTAAACAAATAAATTGCTTTTAAAGTTTTTTGCTCTCAATACTTTCAGATTTAAATAACTATCTTTCACTCCAAAAGCATGAAAGCGGTAATGTTAAAAAAAAATTTTTTAAATATTATTTTGTTTATTAGAAATAACATAAAGAGAACGGGTGTCAAATATTGTTGGATTACTATTGAAATACTCAATGCTGTTTTTTGAACGTACCGTCGTTCCGTGAAATAAAGCTTTTTTTGCAAATAATGCTATTCTCGTTACTGCTGTAAGTTTGCAACAGTTACTCATGACAGTTAGGTTAAGTTTTGCCTATCTATAGCCAGCGCTTTCTATGTTTATTCAGAAAATGGCGTAGAACGTCAATATGGGGAAAAGCAAAAGTTTTGTAAAAATGAAATGCGTTTGGGGTGTAATTTCAAAATACACTGCTGGCTACCCAAATTGCAACACCAGGAAAGACAAGAGATATCACAACAAAATTTATTTTGTAGATAACATGCTGACCAAGTATCAAATGATTAAATTTATAGACTTCTGTGAAGTGCGGTTCCTGCCAAAATCAGTAGCCGCCATTGTTGGAGATCGCCGCGGTCACACGCCTCGGCATTGATTCAAAGTGACTTTGGATGTGTTCTTGGGGTACAGCCAACCAAGCAGCTTCAACACGTTGCCAAAATTGATCTTGAGTGGCAGCTGGGGATGTAATCTGGGTCAATTGTTGAGCAATCATGGACCACATGTTTTCTATCGGCGAAAGATCCGGAGATCGAGATGGCCAGGGAAGCAATTCAATCTAGCGATTGACGAAGAACTCTTGGACAATGCGTGCCACGTGTAGTTGCGCATTATCCTGTTGAAATATGGCTGTGGACAAGCTCTGAAGGTAAGGAAGGACAACTGGCTCCCGCATCTAGGAGATGTAGCGCTGGCTGTTTAAAGTAACCGCAATGCGTACTAGAGGAGTGCGAGAGTGATATCCAATATCGCCCCATACCATTTTACCCGGTGCAGGACCAGTGTGGCGGTGAATAACGCAGCTGTTCAGCATCCTTTCTCCAAGGTGTCTCCAGACTCGTGGTGTTGCAGACAGAAGCGTGACTCGTCAGTAAAGACAATTTCATTCCACTCTGTCATCCACATCCTTCTTTCATCGCACCATTGGCGGCGGAGACGTCTATTGTTCTGCGTCAAGGGTAGACGAAGCAATGGGAGTCTTGCGGACAGACCACTCTGCTATAAACGGCGTCAAATGGTACGCGCAGACACTGGATGATGCGTAACAGACTGAATGTGCTGTGCTATGGTTTGTCATGTGATGTGACTGAGCGATCAGTCACTGCCATGCGCACAATTCGCCTGTCATCACGTGAAGTGGAGCACTGAGGTAGATGCAATCGAACACGTCGGACCGTCGTACCCTCCTGCATCCAACGATCACATATCCTCATTACAGTTGTTTGGTTTCGTCCAACATGACTACTGATTTCCCTGAAGGATAATCCACAATCTCGGTAAGCCACTATCCTTCCACTGCCGAACTCGGACACTTGATCAAAAGATGATCGCTGTTTTCTACGAGGCATAATTAATCGTTTTTTGAAAAAACCACAAGAAAAACACAATTGCCGAACTTGAAATCGTCGAAATCTCCAAGCCTTTAATAGCGCTTTGAAGTAGCGCCACAGGCGCGTGTAATGTGCGTCTGCGCTGAAATTCTAATCATTTGCATATCTCACCTCCGCTAATGCATGTTGTAAATTTCATGTTATTTGCATGCTTCTTTCAGCGTGTTNTTGAAGTGGCGCCACAAGCGCGTGTAATGTGCGTCTGCGCTGAAATTCTAATCATTTGCATATCTCACCTCCGCTAATGCATGTTGTAAATTTCATGTTATTTGCATGCTTCTTTCAGCGTGTTGCATTTACGATGGCCAGCAATGTATTTTTTTAAAAACTTACTCTAATACCCATTTATATGGGCTCAAAAATTTTCAAAAAATGAGAATAAGTCCGTTGCTTTGATAATTTTTATCTAGAGGTAAAAATATCGCCAAATTGGCAATTTTTAAAAAACGTTTAATATTTTTTTAAATATTTAAATTATTTGTCCGTTCCGAATACCAGATAATTCTTCACAGCAAGATGGTATACATAATTTAAAATTATAGCTTTGCTTCAAGCGTGGGACTTTTTTATTTTCCTTGGCAAAAGAGCTTCAACTAGTTCGGTAAGAATTCAGAACTAGTTCGATCATTATTAAATGATATAATAAATAATAACTACTAAATTATTTTGTAAAACATGGGAGATATCGTCCTTTATTCAACATCGCTCGCCAACTTTCTTTCCTTAATTCATGATTTTTCTATTGGTTGCTATTAGCAACGAAAATTGTCGGAAAAGTCAGAAGGGTAACTAATCCAGTTAGCCCTCTTCAGTTGCATTAAGTTATTAAGTTGTCAAAACATACTGTCTAAAAGTATTCTACAGTGGATGATCAAATCACCAGGAGAGAAAAAAAATAAAATTTCCAAAATGTAGTTTGAATTCTTCTCTCGAATTTTTCATTAAATTTTAAGAAAATTTTTCGAAGCCATTTCTAAATCAATCTACCGTTTCTAGTTAACATTTGATGATAAAACTTTGGAACAGCATCTACCGGATCCTCCTCCTGAATTATTGGAAGAGCAACCTCCTGTGGTACGTACGCAACTGAGCTTTTCAAATCTTGGTTTTAATCCAGCAAAATAAATTATTTCAGTTAGTATTATTTTTATAAGTTGATAAGGTTTGTGTGCTACTAAATCTACTTTTTTTAGTCATTAATTATTTCATCAATTATTAGTGTAATTCATTAGTTTATTAATTATAGTCATTATTTATTAGTGACCATTTTTTTTACCGTAATTATGTTTAATAATATTCAAAATTCATATAAAGACCTTGCATTTTTTGTTAAGTATACAGGTCTATTTTCTGACCAAGCGATAAAAAATGTTCAGTTCGATTTCATGCACATTTAAAATTTAGGTAAGGATTAAGTGCACTATAGATTATGACGCAACTTATCACTGCAAGTTTTATCACCTGGTCATAAAATAGGCCTGTTAATCTTCTCGACCTTTATAAATTCCAATGCTTCTGTTGCCATCTTAATTTTAAATCACGGACATAATTGAAGAGCTTAGTTAAAGAATATGCTTTTAAACACTCAGATTTCTAGGTGTACAATCATTAGACTCAGTCCTTAAATAGCGAGCCAGAGACTTTTTCATACAATTTATTTAATGAAACTGAACAGTATTGTTCACTTTGTCGGTCAGAAAAGTTTTACTCCCAACCAGACGAATTATAGGCGGCAACTGGAAACGGGGGTAGCATTTCAACAGGGAAATGCAGGGCCGTTTGTGCCTAAAGCAAATAATCATGCAAATAACATTGCAGAACGTCTTTGGGAAGTTCTAATCCAATATTTTCACTAGATATTATGACCGCAGAATTTCTCTGAATAGATTATTCAATGAATGGATAAAATACAAAATTCCCTGAATTTATACAATTTTCACTCACACGACGCGTAGAATCTCATGTAAAAATAAAATATTTTCACACAAGTATTTTCAGAATTTTGATGTGATGAATATTTCTCGAGTTATTTGACCATAGTCTCATACAATTCGAACACTCTTTGTAGTTCAATAAATTTATAGCAAAATTTATATGTGTTGTTTTAAAATTTTCCTTCAAGATAGCATTTTCTGACAACCTGTAATTTAAATTTTTCTCTAATTCTCTCTAAAATATATTACTTAACTAAGCTCTTCATTTTTCTAATTATTTCACAGGTTAAATAAATAAAAAAAGCAATTTAATATGCTTTAGTCTTAATGAGGTATAAAGTTTAAGTGTATTTTGTGGAACAATCGGGAATTTAACTACTGTTATGAATGGCAAAATGCATGTTTTTAATTCAATATATTAAGTTGAGGTCGCTAATTATTTTATCTTTAAACAATGTACAAAAAAATATAAATAACTTTTAAAAATATTGAGCAATCGAAAACGATTCATGCGAACTTTACGGCAAGTCCATAATTTTAATCATCTCAGTATATTAACGTCATAAAATGCATAACAATATGCCTGAAATCATTAACTTTATTACCCACATTTAAAAAAAAATTAAATCTCATTAAATAAAAAATACTATTCCTTTTAATTTAAACAAAATTCATTAACAAGATAATTGTGAATTAAATAAATTTATAAGATAATAATTTAAAAGTAAAATTATTAATAAGATAATTGTGAATTATGTTAGCTGAAACATTGTTTTGAGTTTCACAGCTTCCAACTAATTAAACTGTAACCGAAAGAAACGTATTTGTAATCTTATACTTATTTTCTAAATACATAAATAACAATGTAGTAAAATAATAAATCAATCATAAACAATGTTTGTCATAAACTTAAATATTTTATAACTTTTATTATATGTATAGGATGGTAATAACCTAGCTACAAAACAAAATAACCATCCATTTATAATATGAACCATTTTAACAGTAATACCAATTTTTTAAAGTTAGCCGAAATGTGTCATAATCTCTTAAATTTTTCGACAGCCAGATGGGGTGACCCGACTTTGACATAGCTCGATGGAAATCGATGGCTCAGACCCTTCTTCACAAGGGATAAGAAATGAATTCGAACAAATCATAAATTATTTTGTATCAAGATGGCAACAGTGATAATTATCGATGGATTGAGTGAGAATTAATGTTTTAACTCTCACATTGTTGTGATATTCATTTTTATCCTGTGTGCAACTAACCAAGTCGAACTTATTATTAATAATTTTATATACTAAGTACTTAATTGTTTATTTAGTTTTCTTGCATATTTTTTCAGCTACATCTGCCAGAAATAGAAAAAAGAGATTTTTGTGATTCGGAAAGTTTTAACGATTTTTTCGAGAGAATGAAAGCTGGCAGATGAGAATGCAAATTTGTTTAAAAATCGTCTGCATTTTTTAAAGACTTTTTAAATATATAACGAATTTTAATTGTCATATCAAACATGTTATTTTTTAATATATATTTTGTATTTTGCATGTATACAGGGCTCGATTTGTACGAATCGCAGTTCGCAACTTGGTTAAAAAGTATGTTTAATATCCCAAGAGATAGAATAAGATAATCCTCAACCAATTTTTTTGAAATTTAAAGTTGGATACATCTAAACCCTGGGTGCCCTCTAAGAAAATTCCAAGACTGAACTTATTTTTTGGCCTATTAACAGTCTAGTATTAACTATTATTTTAAAATATATATAACTCTCTGACTGATTACTTTAAAAAATATATTTATATTTTCATGAATTTCTATTTTATTTTTTACTGCAAGCAAAACAAAAATAACTAACACTTTACATCAATCGTTGAATAATACACAACTTTTTCTTGGAAACTTTTTACTCTATCATCATAAATGTTTGCTTTAACTCTTTAAGTAATTTCCAAAATATAATCTTTACGTTACATTACCCAACATTTCAAAATATTAGGTTTAGAAAATGCTGTCATAAGCAGATTCAGACTAACCAATACAAATTTGTTTGCATTTGTCTTTCTTTTATTGCGGTTTGATATCATTACTTGATCATTTACCAATAATTATGAAAAATAATGTTTTCATTAAAAAGTGTTAATTTTTATTGATTTGTTTTCAACAGAAAACATTTGCTACATTTTATTTTAGAAAAAAAAACATGTAAAAAAAATCTTTAATTACTTTCTTTTTCTTCTTTTTTTGAAAATTTGATTTAAAAAATAAATTGGAAAAAAGATATTATAATTTGAGAGCGGAATTTAGTCCACTAATCTTAATTCAAGACTAATTTCAGTCTTCAGGACTAAAGAGTGGCACCCATGACGGGAGCCCCTATCATATTTGGCGAATTGCAAATAATCGAATGTACAATGCAAAAAAAAAAACAAGAACCAATCCTTTAAAAGTAAACAAAAGTTGTGTTAACCCGAAGGTGACGCCATTGAAAGCAAAGACTGCAAAGTATACCATGGAAATAAGATTTCAGCAAAACTGAACAAAAGTTGTCGCCAAACCAAGGAGCCCCCGATTCTACGCTAGAGCCTAGATCGGTAGTAGTTCAAGTATGAAAATTAATTCGTAAGAGCTAAGATAAACTGATTTTTATTTATTCATTTCTGGTCTATCGATTCATTCTCTCTATAAATCTAGCCCTGCATTTATACTATGTTTTAAAAAATAAATCATTTTTCATTGAAGTTGTTGTTTTTATTTATATTCTTTAACATATAATATAGTAACTTTATATAAAAATATTAAATAAAAAAAACAGTAATTCCAATTCAGTCGTAGGTTAGACAAAACATTTTGTCTTCCTGAGCAGTCAGTTGGACACTTGTTTCAACTATGAAAATTTGCCTTCATTCTAATAAATCACTGACATTAACGTACAGATTTCTAAATTTAATAATTCTATAAGGTAAAGAGATGTCACTCAGAATTCTCCGAGAGAAACATAATATAACATACTATGCACATTCCACAAACTTTTGAGCCAGCAGGTCTTCAGAGTTCTCCAGAGAACCTACTTATCTTGTTTAATTGAGATCATAAGAACCATTCAGCCTATTCCAGTTTTATCAGGGTGCGTAGCGTTTTTAAATGTGCGTATTTTCGTCTTTTAATAGCCCTTAAAGGTGCTTTTTTCCATGGGTGATTTTAAAAAGTGCTTAATTTTCCTTTTTTCGAAATGTGATATTTTTCTTTACCATGTTGATTTTTGCCACAAATTATGCAAAAAGACATTATTCTATTCAACGTTTTCACAATTTATTCAAACCCCAATCTATTTCGGCGTACCGTCGGTCTGTAGAGTATGAAAACACTATTTGTTTTACATGTTTGATGAAATACTTGCGGGTCCGCCCTTGCGTATGCTAAACTGGATTTAATTGTAAGGATTTTTGTCTCTCATGTGCAACTCTGCTGCATTTTGCAAGAGATTCTCAATTTCAGACTTCATTTTCCGCCCTCTGTGATAGAATCGAAAAATCTCGAATTTTTGCTGCTTATGGGGACCAACTTTTTCCCCTATTAGCGATAGAAAATTTAATTTCTCTTGTTAATTTCATCGTTTGTGACGCGCCATCGTCTTCATCACTGGCAAGCAAATAAAAGCGGATAAAACCATCAATTGTCAAAAACTTACCAACCCTGTCAAATTATGATATTTTTTCAAAGTGCTTATTTTTTATTGAAAAATTTGGCGACACATCCTGTTAAAAATTATCGAATTCACTAAAATGTAATTTTTTTTTTAAATAATAATGCAATAAAAATTCCTTTTTCTACTAAACCGTATTACAGGGTTGCCACTGAAAAAAAAATGAACAAAATAGTTGCTTTTTGTAGCCTAAAGCATGAAAATAGTTGCCAAAAACTATGAAAATAGTTGCCTAAATAAGAACAAAAATTCAGCAAAAATTTTATTAAATGTATACCATGATCCATTTAGTCAAATTGGTGGCAAATATGAACATTACGTAAATATTATGTATGGTGAGTTTTTGTGAAAAGTGATTACTCAAATTAGAAATTCATGCATAATATCGTATTAAAAATTGGGTTTTTTAAAACTATGCAGAATTTCCTAACAAAAACCGTTGAAAAGGCGATCGAGAAACGAAATAGACTTACGATAGAATCTGTGCAAATTGAACGCATTAAGAAGTGATTACTCAAATTTGCAAACTAAAATTTTTTATTTTTTAATTATTTATTTAATTTTTTTAAATTTTATTATTTTTATTTTACATTTTTTATTTTTTAAGAAAACAAATTCAGTGTGTTCCGAAGATTTCGCAGACTGCAGGTTTTCAACCCAATTTATGCTAAAAAAACATTTCTAGGAGTACAGAAAAGTCTCCTATTCCTGAAAATAGCTGCTTTTCATCCTTTTCAGTCAAAAAAAGTTGCCATAGTCGCCTCATGATGAAAATAGTTGCATTTTAGTTGCCTGTGGCAACCCTGTATTAACTTTTCTCAATCTAGATCAGTTAAAAACCATTCAGACGATTCCAGTTTTATTTTAAGGATAATCGAATTCTCTAAAATGAAGCAAAAAATTACCTTCTTTTGCATGGTTTTTCTTTATTTAACATAGCTTGAAGCTTATAAAAAAATCAAAAGTAAAGTTAAAAAATTTACATGGTGTGATTACGTACATTCCTTATTAAAATAAAATGGATATCGAATTAAAATAGAGATAGATATAAAAGCTTGCCCGAGATAAAATTTTATTGTTCACTGCGATTATTTCACATTTTACAAAAAGAAAAAAAAAATTAAGCATGTTTTGCACATCATTTGCTTTTAGAAGATGAAAAAAAAGAGAGTCCTCTTCCCAAGTAATGTAGAATTTAGTGCTAACTTCTTATTTTTTCACTCTTAACTTATCAATAACGATCATTCAGAAATATATATCCTTAAAAAACAAAAAATTTGAAAATACAGTCGTATTGGATTAAAAGAAAAAAACTGACAACCTTTAAATAAATTTTTAAAAATAATTAAGCTATGCTGAGAGTAACTTTGAATAGGTAATTTAATGCTGTACATTGACAGTGATTTGTACTAAAAATGCTCATTCTCAATTTTTTTTTAAAAAATTTACTTTTGTTGTTTAAACTGATAAGAACCAATCAGAATGATGCGGAAAAACTATCAGTTATTACCAAAAAACAAATATATTTTGTAAAGAGTCAAAAAAATAGGTAAAATGTTAAATTATCTTTCTGGTCTGAAAATGCCTATTGTTGAATTGCGTTGGCAGAATTTTATTAAAAAAAACATTAAATTTATAGACAGGGAAAATCATAGCAACTGGTTCCAAAATTGTTCAACATTAAAGAACTAATTGTAGCATTTTATTTTGGAAAATATTAACAAATACAATGAGTCATAAAATGTCCCCTGAGCCACAACATCACCTGACTGTTTTGTCTCTCAAAAGTGACCTCGATTTTTGAATCACTCAAGACTCCCAATTGAAAAATAAGTGAAGAACATACTTATAGAAGACAACTAGTGTGTACATTTAGAAATAAATTGACTGAAATATGGTAGAATATTTATTCTCCCCTTTAGAAAAATATACAAAAATCTCGTAGCTTTAGACATGAAAGCTCTTTACACTTGGGTAGTCAATGCAATTTTGATTTGACAATATGACATGATATTCTGAGGAACAAATACAAAACAAAATATAGTATTATGGCAAACTATAATTACAATATGCATGAGCAAAAAATGAAAATAAATAGTTTATGAAACATATTTTAAGACTATTAAAAAAACAATATTAAAAAAAAACAATGAAAATAAAAAGCAAAATTTATGGCAAAACAACTGAGATTAGGAAGAAAGCCAAAGAATGCAGTGAAGAACAACAAAGGTTTATTATTATTGATATTAAATGTAGTTAGTATAATTTTATTTGGTTTGGATTCTTTTTGTTCTGAAGTATGCTCAAAAAAGTATTGAACACTGAACATACGATTGAGATACCTGAGACACCATTTTTTCTTTCAAAATATATTAGGTTTGGCAATTTTCACAGAAATTTTGAAATATATTTAAATTATCGAAATTCAACTTCTTCCACAGGGAATGCTCTTCCTCTCCACATTTGAAAGCAAATTACAAACTCTTTTTCTATACTTCTGTAATATTTAAATGCCCCCCCCCCCAGCTTGAAGATAATAAGTAACAATGCAATGCATAGCTGCCAGCATGCTAAGGAAAAAATCCTGTAGATTTTACAAAATAATAACAATATCATGTTAACTATTGTGTATTGTTTAAATATTCTAAGTAGATAATGAAAATTTTAGAAAATCACAAAAAAAAAATTTATAACTGATTATTCTGAATTTAGCTTACACCATTATTTAACAGTAATACTTTTTTAAACACTCAAGCAAACAATGAACTGAATAAAAAATCTATATTGATTGGTATGTTTTTAGAAACTTTCTTATGTAAGGAATTTTCAGAAATTTCAAAAACTAGGAAATTTTTTAATTGCTTTAATCTTGCTTTAGGAGAAACTGGCAAAATCCAGTTATGAGTAGTTTACAGGACAATTCAGCAAAGTTGGCAGTTATGCTGATGGATAGTAAAATCGAGACTTTCAAGGCTTTAATTGCATTTTATAAAACAGCAGTCTGCCTAGCAAATATAACTCTCAAACAACACTAGGTGGTTTAATTATGTTTTCGTGCAACCAGAGACCCTGGGCATCAAATTTCTTTTTTTTCGATAGGGGGTGAGGAGATTTAAGCAATAATCATTTGAAAAATAGCATTTAACTCATACCACACATATATGTTGTCTTGTACTTACCTCAAAAGTTAAATAGGGAAAAAAGGTTTTTAATTTATTGAATATTTTTTTTACTATCACATTGCTAACAATGTAAACAGTAAGTTATAGGACAATTTCCTTTTATTTTTTCACTTAAAGTGCAATAGTGTTCGATTTCTTTTCAATATTGAAAGAGTATTGGAAGATACACATACTCCTACTCAACTCAAAATCAGATAATTCAGTAATATGCATTTTTTTTTAATGATGTCACAAATGATACAATGACGCAAATTACATTAAAAGCACAACTGCAACAAAACATACAATTCCTAAATGCATAGGTCAGTTAATTTACAGCAAAAAAAAAAATATTGGCATGACAAGCAAGAAAAACTGGTTTAAGAGTCAAACTACAATGAACCCCAAAAAAAATTCAACAAGACTTCATTAATATTAATCAGTTTTATAATGTAGTAACATGAAATTAAGAATTTTTTATAATAAAAAAAAAGCAGAGTAAAACATGAAAATTAATTCTTAATTGCGATTAAATTAAACTTATTAGGATCTAAATAGAAAGCAATTAAAAATGAATTAATATTTTATTTAAAGGATACCTACCTCTTTTTTTGAAGAAAAATAAAAAAAAAATTTCCAGCATCATAAAAAATAAATGATTATACTAGAATTAAAATTATTTTAAACAACCTAATATGCACCATAGAATTGCCAATTATAACATGCCAATAATTTTAACTGTATCACTAAAGATGTAAAACAATGATTTTAACAGAAATATTTAACATGACAGCTTAAACTCTAAAGTTCTGTCAAAACCTGTTAACCTAACTCTGCTAAAAATTTGGAGTTTCACCCTCTTGGGTACAGTACTTACCATGTTAAAACCTTTATACGGGTATACAAGAAACCGATCGTAACAAAAATAAAGATTAAAACCATTTTGCAACACTTTGACTCATTATATACAAACTCTACAATTACTTACATCAAAAACAAACCTTAAACTGTTTTTAACCGTTATTAAAATAATTCAAACAATCATACAAGTCTAATTATTCATAATCAGGCATTGTAAAAAAGGAATGTTCAGAGCTATGAAGATTATTGAGGTTAAAAAAGGTATTAGGTCTATATTACTAAGCATATTCATTGAACATAAAGTTTTAGATGCAAAAGAAAAATAAATTTTTTTTGCAAAAATCAATTATTGGTTTAGAATGTATTACTATTAAGCTTTTTTACTTTTGAACTTTACTTTACCACAAAGCAATCTAAAATGGAAGTTACATTGGTGTATGATAAACAAAAATAAATAATAAAACACAACAGAGAATTGCAACAAAACAACTTCAGTAAAGAAATTAATAAACTCAATGGCATAAAACTATCATAGCTTTATACTTGAATCGAGTTATTTTACAGAACTTTAAAGGAAAAAATATTAGAATGTGTATATTACACTTTAACTTATTTGTATTTAAAAGTACTTATACCATTTATATACAAATATTTACAGCAACAGGTCACTTGACTTGTACATCTTCAAAAATTTAATATTTGGGAAAAACAAAATATGAAATCTACTGATTCCTAAGAGCACTTAAATGTTTTCAAATTAACTGGAAAGACTTATTGAAAAAGTGATGAACACATACAAAGAAACAGAAATGAATATAATAAAAAGACATTTGATAAAAATGAACGCATCGATGAGTTCTCAATTTCGTGCAGAACGAATTGTACAGAATACAAGGTTTATAGATAAAACAATCTATCAGACAAATCTGAATGCGTTTCTTTATGCAAGCTCTGACCCACTAAATAGGCTAATTTATGCGCATATTGACAGGGAGCGGGAACTCTGACTGTTCCAGGCCAATTATAATACAAATGGGTCATTTTGTAAGTAATTCTTTGCACATACTCAGGCTTGAGTGAACTAGTGTCATGTATAACGACATAATGTGTAGGAGTGACAGTGCCTTGCCTTACATGCTGTGACACAAGGAAAAAGTCATACCACTTTTTGCGTGTGACTGAATGATCAAGAATGGAGCCAGGAGGGGGGTTCTTCAGAGTCTTCTGTCCTCTATAGCCTTCTACTGCATACATGCGGGTATTGATACGCTTTTGGACGACCACAACAACCAAGTCTGGATTATAGTCCAAATTGAAATTTTTGTAACAAGAGGTGAGCTGTTCAACCTCGTACTTGGAAATAAAATCCATCTGTCCATCACCCACTCCGTCTCGGTACAGTATAATCTTCTCAGGCAAGTGATGATTTACTTCATAGTACTTCTTGAGAGCATTAATGAACATGATTTTTAAGTTGTCTCCAACTTCTTGACCTTGTTTTTGCATTGTTGTCATACTGAACCATCTAGTACGGTTTTGATTAATAGTACTAACAAAAGCCAAGACAGAGCGTCTCCCTTTGGAATTATCGTGATAAGTATCCAGGCCACAAACCATGAGATCGTTTAAGGGAATGGCCACGCTCCACAATTCTCCACCTAACTTACAATTCATCTGAAGGGCAATTTTTTGAGACACACTTCTTAACTTCCTAGCGTCACTAATGGTCTTTAAGTTAATCACTTGGGATGGCACAGGTGCTTCAATGCAGCAAAGTTTCTTCACAGCACTGTAACGATCATCTCTTTTTGTAGGGAAAATTATTACCATCATTTGAACATTAGGATTGATCATATCTTTCAAGGCTTGGCAATATGTTTCGGTGCGATCGTTCATGATTTCAACCAAATGTGGCGGCTTCACATTAATTCCCATTTTTGGACAGACGTTTTGCATCATAGTGAGGAATTCTCGTATCTTCCCTGCATCACGTTTAGGAAAAACACAAACCCATTTTTCAAAGTTAACAGCAACAAGAACACTGCTGGAAGTTGCTTGTCGTCCCCAGTCTGCCTCTGGACCAGCTTGGCATTGGAATCCTCTACCAAATGTCAATGTTTCAGACTTCAAAAGTCGTCCATCAAGTGTTTCTGGTGTAGATACTAATTCTAAGTTCCACCTTTCAAAACATTGCCTGGCCTCAGGTGTTGTAGCTACATCGTTGATGAATTTCATAAGAGCCAATTGTCGATTCTCTGGTGTCACGCGAGTATAACTTGCAACATCTCTCATTACTTTAAAATCATTTCTCATTTCATCAGTGAGCCCAGTCATAAAACATAGTTCAGGAATGAGGCATATCAGCCTTGGCTCTTCCCCTTCTTTCATTTCCCGCTTTTTAGCTTTACTTATTAAAAGAGGTTGCTTTGAATCTTCTATATCAATATCATAAGATCTCTTGTAGTAATCCATAAATGATATTTCAGCACCATTGTGAGAGACAAATGTTGACAATGGGTTCATATCCCAAGAAACATCATCAATTCGATATGTCTTGTTGTTGTATCGGGTAAGTACAACGCAATCCACTAATGCCTTAACAATCTCCTCCTTTACATCCCCCCTTCTCTGTTTGGCTGCATCATTCATAACGTCACGGGCAGTAACCGTTCTCAAAACTTTAAAAGAACAGTCACAATTTAACATTACACCACCTTCATATTCTTGTACGGCAGTTACATAACCAGGCCAAATTTCAAGTCGATGCTGAGGAATGGGAATACCTCCTTTGGGATTAAAATAGTTTCGTCCCACCTGAAATTGAATAAAAATTTATAATTTGATGCACAGAGAAATTTTTTTTTATTTTATAAATATTCGAATAAGTATAAAAATTCATGTCATTTCAAAATAATGTCCTACTTTTAGGAAAAGATTTGGTTATGATGAAAATACTTGGTGATTGAAGAAAGAATAACTATTCGTTGAAGAAGTTCGAAGATTAGTATTATTTAGATATACTCGGAAGAAAAGCAATATTAATAGACTATCTATTCTGGAGATGATGAATAACACTGATGTTAAAAAATTTTGATTAATCATTGTAGGAAATTATCAGTACCCATTCGTCTAACTATTCTATTGACGAATGTGTGAAGATAAACAAATATAGTGGAGAATCAAATCTGATAAATATTAAAAAAGTTTATTTTTAAAATTAAGTGAAGCTCCAAAGTAAAGATTAATCTTAATTTTTAATGTAAATATGCATTATCAATTTTTAAATTTGGTAAATGGCCCAGGTGGCTTCAGGGCTAAGCCCTACATGACCCCATCCATCAAGAAATCAAAATTGCGAGTCTTATTGTAATAGTTTGCGCCAAGGAAAGTTAAGGAATTCATGTATTGGCTAGTAGCTGATTTTAAATTTATTGCCAAGGCTCTTTTTCTTAGCCATATGCATTCAAATGTGTTGGCAGAAAAGATGTGTGAAAGCCAATTTTGATAAAATCAGATGTGATCAAATGACAGCTTTTTTTTCGTTACAAATTTAGGAGTATTTTAAAATTGCAAATGAGTTGTGCATTTAATGATGTTTTCTCGTCTGCCAGCTTTTATTTTCTCGAAAAAAATCATTAAGACTTTCCGAATTTTGTGCAAAATATGTTCTAGAGCTCACACTCTAGGACAGGGATGGGCAAACTACGACTCGCGGGCCAACAGTGACCTGTTGGAAGGTTTTATCCGGTCCGCTTATAGAATTTTAACTTGCCGAATTGTGGCGAACATAAACAATATACATCCATTTTCTTGTCTACTTTGTTAAAAACTATTTTTGTTATGCTATACATAATTTTGTGCTATACATAAACTGATGGAAATAGACAGCAGAGACAGCTTCAATTGGTAAAATGTTGAAAGCAAAAGTTCTTATTAAAATTGCTGTAGATTGGCTCCAACGAGCGTTTGTCTTTCTCAAGGAGCAGACAAATTAGATCATTTATAGGTGAATTGTACTTTAGATGTGACGTACTGCGCATTTGAAGCTCTAATGAGCGGATTTTTCTGGCGGTGCGACATTTTTTATTGCGCATGGAAAGATTGCACACATATAATGTCATTGTAAATAATGGGAAACTTATTAAATGCATAAAATGGCTAGTGCTTTTGTATGTACTTTTTGTACATAAAATGGTTTTGGAGGTAGATGTGATATTTTTCCAGAATTTCAGGAAGGGTTTTCAACTTTGAAAGTGGCCATAACAAAAATATGTAATATTTGGATTGATGGGGCACAAAATATGACAGGAAAAAAATCTGGATTCTTTGGACTCTTTAATCAGAACTATCCCGGGATTAACGTTAGTTTTCTACATTTTGTTATACACCAAGATGCTCTGTGTAAATTAGCATTGAATATGAATCCTATGCTTGATGCAGTAGTAAAGCTTGTTAATACTATTCGATTTTGAGGGCTTATACACAGGCAATTCCAAGATTTTCTCCAGTCAGTGCAATCTGAATACTCTGATGTACTGTATAACACAAAAGTAAGGTGGCTTAGTGCAGAATCTGTTTTCGAGCGAGTTTGGCAGCTGAAAGACATTGTGTCGTTTTTCAATGAGAAACAGTCTTCAGAAGAATGTGAAATATTAGAAGATACAGAATGACTTTCAGACTTTGTATTTTTCTCAGAACTTCTTTGTTATATGAACAACTCGAATGTTAAGATGCAAGGGAAAATCAATTCATCGATGATATCTAGGCCCATCTCAAAGCTTTTAAACAGAAATTTAATATGTTTGCTGGGCAGATTACTCTAATCATAGTTGGAAGATTAAAAAGAAAACAAAAATTAATGATGAATAAAAAGAAGTAAAAAAGAAACTTCAAATACCTTAAAAGTTAACTTTTACTATTCAGTTAGAAAACAAAATTTGTTACAGTTATTCACAGTGTCAGATCAACGGAATTGAAAATCTTAAAATTATGTGTTTTAATATTTACTTTTCAGATATGCTATTTATTTAATGCAGACAATATTTTAAGTAGCGAAATCAGATATAAAAGTACTTTTTCTCGATAAACATACCTTCGTTTAGACGGATATGGATTTCTGACTATCATAAGGGGTAGGCGGAATCTAGAAAAGATGGTCCCAATAGTTTAATCAGGAAAGCGCTCCAAAGTTTGGACCCCTTAATGATAATATTACTTTCGCATATTTTCCCTATATCTCAAGAATTCTTTAAGCAAATTGAAACATTTTTGTACACAGTTACAAAATTAGATTATCCAAAGATAATAATTCCATGCAAAAAAATAATTTTTAGTAAATATTTATTATTTTTTGTACTAAAAAATTATACAGCACTTGCAGACTGCTTTCTTTCAGCATTTAAGGTTTAAAAGCTTTGAAATCAAATATTTCTCTATTCAGTTTCTAAGAATAATTTTAAATCCGGATCACGTTGCGCTAACTACTACAGTGAGGACAACAAATAAATGCTTGGGGTGACTACAAATTACACCCTCTGAGTTCGTCCCCTTTGTTAATTTTTTCTTCTTCAGTTTATCGCAGGTCGCAATTTAGAAGTTACCAGGTCTTGGCAATTAATCTGCCTCAGATCATGATAAGGAAATCTTCGCTTATCTCTAATATACCAAAATTTATGTGCAAAAATTCAGGATAATATCTGCATCAGTATTTTTGAACAATCTTCATCAAGTTTTGGGAAAAAATTTAGCAGTCATTAAAGAAATTTTATTATACACAGAATGAAGATAGGCACTATATGTTCTGCAGATGCATAAACTAAGCACCTTGACTCAAGAGAAGAAATCTCCGCATTACATCCTAAATATAACACATCTATTAATTTATTGCAGTTTTGGGAGAGATTTCCGTATCGTGATCTGTGGCAGAATAATCGCCATGTTTTGGAAACCTCCAGTCAGTAGCCCGCGAGAAACTTAAAAAAAAACATCACAGAAAGGGACCAATTTAAAAGGTATAACTCGTAGCCACCCCCAGGCAATCAGCTACATGTTTTTTTTTCTTCTTTTTTTTAAATTTGCAAGTTTAACATCTATTTGGCGCGTTGGCGACTGTATTTGGCGTGACAGATCAAGATACGGAAATATCCCTCAAATTTACACTTAAATGCATAGAATGATTATTTTTAATATTTCAAAATTTAAAGACAATAATCAAATACTTTACCTGAGTCATTTTCAGTATCCTCATCACTTGTTTAAAAATCAAGTTATACAAATGCAAACAATCACAAAATGAGCTCTTTTTGATCAGCTTTATTGATACGTTGACTAAAGAATTATCTGTTGGCATGTTTACATCTACTACCATAGGAGACATGTCTAATCTTAACGGCAAGTACAGTTTACTGCCATCAAAAGTCTTTGTAGGACCGATAATTTCCACAACTTTAGGATCTTTCATCAACTTAAATTTCATATTTTTGCTATCAACGGTAGGTTCGAAACTCACATGGTACTCATAGATGCCTTTACCAGGAAGAGCTTTCAAGCGCACATAGTTTACTTCCATACGCAATGGGGTTCCAGAAGTACCTTTGTATTGGCCGATCGTTAGTTCTTCTAATTCTGAAGTTGGAGGAGATACTTTTCCAGTGTCAACTGGAGAGACTTTTCTAGGTATAGGACTAACAGGAGACACTTTTTCAGGTACAGAACTTACAGGAGAAACTGCATAACTTGCTTCTGATGGGGATGGAGATGATTGTTTGGAACTACTTTCAGATAAAATGCTACTTAAAAGTAGACCCCGTCCTCTTCCAATAGGTCGTACGGGATCGATCACAGAAGTTGGTTCAATTTGCGCCGTAGCTTGAGGAACAGCTGGAGTTGGGACAGAAACTACAGCACGGCCCCTTCCTTGTGCCAGAAGAGATTGAAGAAATGCACCCCTTCCCATAGGAGGAGTAGGTAACTGAGGTTGCTCTGGTGTTGTTTCACTTGCTGAAGAAGCTTGAGGTTCACTTGAAGGTGGTTGCCCAGGACGACGAGGCTGATTTTTTAGAGCTGCCAAAAGGATGGCACCACGACCACCTCTTCCATAACCCTCGGGAGGTTTATTATTATCAGACATGTTATTTGAACATAAAAAAAACTAAAAATACTACAGATTCATAAAACAATTAAAATGATGTTTCACTAAACACCAAGTATAACTAGTTGAGTTTTGAGATTGCGATATATTCAAAGCAGATATTTCATTCAAGGCATGACACACATTCCTCTTTACTGTTGGTTGCCAAACAAAAAATCTTTCTTTTTTTATTATAGACGAGTTGAGTTGTTCTACTTTTTCAAAATCATTTTGTATAAATTTTAGGAAATGTCTCGGCTGCCGTGATACTCTTATGTTAACCCTACAATTCTGTGGCTCAGCGGTATCTGAAATTGGAAAGTGCTCAGGCTATTCTCGCGCCAAGTTATGTCCGATTCGCCGGAACTGAATTTTGAACAAGGGAACTCCTGGATCAAGTATTGGGAGAAATTTGCCTTTGTCGAGGATTTTTTGATGGACCTAACTCGCATTTGCGTTACATGGAGATTAAGACCACGAGAACCTCCCATGGTTAGCCTGACGGCAAGGGGATTCTAACCCATGATCCGTCTACCACTGAGGATATTCCACGTCAGCAATGTGGTCGGCGCAAGCCGGAAGCAGAACTCGTATCGACCAGCCATCACCGGGATCGAACCCCAATCTCTCCCCTGAGCCATCGCGGCTCTCAATGACGGTTATAAAATAAAATAATAATTTTGGCCGGGGTAGCCTGGTTGGTTGGCCGTTGGACTCGTGTTTGTGAGAATGGGAGTTCGAATCCAGCCTGCCGAAGAATACCTACGTACAAAATGGTGCATCTGAAATCTGTTAGAGTCACAAAGTTTTTATAGTTCTCATAACAAATCAATACCTCTGGGTACTGATCCAGGAGTTCCCTTGTCCTCTGGATTGGGTTCAAAATTGCAAGGCTGCAGAGTTAAACATTGATAGTCATAAACTCAAAATTTAGTCGGTTGTTCAATGGCTGTTCCGGCTGTTATGCAAAAAGAAAATGAAACTAATAATCAAATTGTATTTTCTTATATTTTTTGAAACTCCTTGCATATTTTCTACACACCTTCATAATTTTATATTTGTAAGTCTTATAAATTTTGAGCAAAATGTAATGTATAGAAGCAAAATGTAATGTATAGAAAAAACAATTTAGAAAAAAAGTAGCAAAAAAATCATTTAAAATTTCAAATGACATATATTCAGAATTTCAAAAACAAAAAAAAAACAAAGAACTGTTTAATATGCCCTTCCAGTATGCCAAATTTTTACTATGTGCTTAAAATTTGCTTCTATTGAAACTTATTTTCCTCGTTCAAATATATGTGCAATAAAAGAAAGGTTCTACATTGTAGTCTCATCACAATCAATATATTTAACAATTAAGTAATATTATCATATTCTCTAATAATATATTGCTAATACTCAACAATAAAAAATAATGACAGTTTACTTTAGGTTTATAAAAATAGAATTGAACTTATAAGGGCCCCATCATTTTTAAGTAGCTTAGAGCCCCACGAAGCTTAAATCCGGCCCTGGTTCGTTCAAGGCTCTTAAAAGTTCTTAATTTTCAGTATTGCTTTTAATATTCAGTCATTATTCTTAATATTCAGTACTATAGTTTACAGAAAAAAATATTCAGTATTACAGAAATTTGATTGACATGAATGCGTGTGTGTGCATGTGTGGGTGTGTGAGAGAGAGAGGTGGGGGTGCTATAAGCAAGTGTAAAGGAGCATGCCCTCCTTTCAGTAATATATGCTTTCTTCTGCTATGAATCAGACCACACGAAAAGAGTAGAGAATTCTGGAAAAAAAGAATAGGGTGTCGTTGAGGGGAAAACTGCGCAATGGAAGAGATGATTTATTTTTTAAAGGAAGGGGGACAATTCTAAGGTATCTAATTAGAAGACCCACACTGACCTTCGAAATTCACGAAGTTAAAGATTTTCAGTTCTACTGGTAGCGTACCTTTTTACTGAAACGAAGAAAAGATCGATAAGAAAAGGAGTAAAAAAATTTTTTTAAAACTCTAATCCAGAACGGAAGCTGTTTCTAAAAAAGTTGAATTAAAAAAAATTCATATTATAATATTAATACCATATCATAACATTTACTGAATATTAAGAGTAATACTGAATTACAATATATAAATATGAAATCAATTGGAGTTGTTGAGCGGAGTGTGCAGGGGAAGAGCTCCTATTGTGTAAATGCGAAAGATATGACTGCTTGATTGATTGTATCTAAATCACAATATTTTTAAATCAAAAAAGAAAAAAATTTCGTTAAATACTTTAAAATATAATTAAAAACTGAATATGTGAGGAATAGTTTATGTATGAAATTTGAGTAACTTTGCAAAGTTACATCATTGTTAATAATAGGAATATTTAATTGGATAAAAAAGGAAAGCAGAAATATTTATAGGTAAATAAACAAAAGAAATAGCTTATTTGCTCATTTTTGCAGCATTTCCCCCCTCTATATTGGTATTGCTGATTTAAGTCTCATGCTTTGGGAGTTTAAATTACAAATGTGCCTCAAAACATAACTTTTACAATTTTTTCTACTTATTCAATGGCCTATATTCACTTTAAAAATACTTAAAAAAAAAAAAAAAAAAACTTATCCACATTAAACAAAGTGATTCAGGCAAAATGAAATTCAGGGAGGAGAAAGGAAGTATAAAAAGAAAGATGCAATAGATATAAGCTTTAACGGATTTGGAGTCTCTATTCATTGTAAATACATTTCTCCCCTTTGTTGAACATAAAGTTGAATTAAACACTTTGTTGCCACAAAAATTAGGCAACTGGGAAAAGGAAAAATGAGGAATAGCATACAAATATTGAATTAGAATATTGTCCGCGCAAACCAGCATCGTAATATACGCATGCGCTCGTAAAGACGCCAAAAAGCTGTGTAGCTATATCTGATAAACATAAACAACGCTTTTAGCGATAACAATCGATGATAAATCCATCCAATAAAAAATTTATATGTTCAATCGTCAGTCATGGCCGCTAAGCGACATCCTTATCAATATCATTAACTAGCAGATTAAACATAATCGTTATCGGTAATTCCAGATCACATGTTTCTCCAAAAAATTTAATTCTTATGTTTATTAACTTGTCAAAATTTTTGTTTTCGAGTGATATTTGATTTGCTTCTGAAATGGTAAATTATTTGTTATTGTTTGAATAAGCAATTTCTATGTTTATTTCCGTTTTCTTTTGCCAAATGATAAGAATACAAATTAGTTATATTTCTTGTTTATTTTCTTACAATAAATTTTTTGTGTGTTTACATTTTAATTAAATATGACGTTAATATATTATATTACCCATGGTTTTTATAATTTTTGTGACAATTAAAATTGTCACAAAATCAATCAGATCTTTTGACAGAGTCCAATAGTCAGATATTTTGACAAAGTAATTTGTATTTTTGTCTCTTTTTCTCATACCTCTTACACATAAATGTTTCGATTTAAAATGGTAGATATGTAGTTATAGTAATCTCTTTTGTTAAAATGGTAGATCTCTTTTTTAAAGCGATTCTGTTTAAGTTGACCCAATTAATTAACTTTTAAATGTTTGTGACCTAGTGCAGTTTGCAATTAAACTTTCTACTAAACAATTGGAAGCCTTCATATTTTGTAATTTTTTAATTGCAATTATTATAAATATTGTATTTCCAAAAGTTTAAAAGTAATATTGCTACCAACAAAAATAATTCTTATTGTGTATGTATGAGTCAGAGTTCAAAGCTCACATTTTATTTAAAACATCAAAATGCAATGTCAATTCTCTGTTACAAAGATAAAACTTTACATTCTGCCTTGTTTCAATCTACAAAACTCATTTTAATATAAATTATCTGTAGAGAACAGTGAAAGAAGCTAGTTTGTTAACAATAGACATATGGGGTAGATTTCTGTTTGAGAACTTGCTATTATTTATATGTCTTGGCACTTCCGGGCAGTGGCCTACACAAAAATTTTTTTTTAAAAAACAGAGAAGAAAGAAACGTTACAGCAAGATACCAACTTGAAGGATGTTCGTCAAGCACAAAATCTAAATTAAAAAACTTGTTGCAAGTAATGATACATAACTCTTAAATATCACAATATTGATTATTCCTCACCACTTATTTTGATGACAGTTGTTTGAAAATCTTTTTTTTTTAAAGAATGTTTTATATTTCATGAATTACACATCCTATATCAGCATGCATTCTTTTTTACTGAATAAGACTAAAACAATTTTTGTGATGTTGAAATATATTGATTGCAGGGTAATATCGAAATTTTGACAAGTAGTATTAAAAAATGCTTCTGAATGTTTAAAAAATATTGACTGCCATATAAAATAAGGGAATTTTGATAGTTTTTTGTCTACGATACAATTTAGGCAGATTTTTTTAGATTAAGTAAAAAATTTAAGTGTTCAACAGTAGTTGCCTTATCTCAAAATATCATTTTCTTATTTATTCTTAATATCTGTTGTTGTGAATTATATTCAAGGAAACAGAATATTTTTGACTGTCTAACGAGGATTTAGAAGAAATTCTGGTAACCATTGAGAAATTTTTTGCAAAAAATTTCTTTGAAAATTTTCTGCACTTCTGCTTATATGTACATGAACATTTCTAATATTAGTGAACTAATATTAGTTATATTAATGTATAATTAATTAACTGATAAATAAACTAATTTTTCCAAAAAGTTTGTATAATGTTTGTATAAATGAGTTAATAATTTCTTCAATCAGTCAATTTCAGGGTCTAATTGAATTACTATAAATATTTAGTATAGTTATAAGAATAAATTTCCCAGTTATATGTTATTTTATTATGTTCTAATAGCTTTAGTACGTCTACTTTCTAGTCAATGCAGCTCAGCATCAATTGAAAGAATATGTTCAAATTTTTGTCTTATTCATACAAAATTGAAAATTGAACTTTTCAGTAGAGAGGGCTTCAAAACTGTTTATATATANGAACTAATATTAGTTATATTAATGTATAATTAATTAACTGATAAATAAACTAATTTTTCCAAAAAATTTGTATAATGTTTGTATAAATGAGTTAATAATTTCAAATTTTTGTCTTATTCATACAAAATTGAAAAATGAACTTTGAGTAGAGAGGGCTTCGAAACTGTTTATATATATATATATATATTTATATATATAATTGCATGCTTTATAAAAAGGAGGAGTTAAAATAGGAATAAATGAGGAAAATTGCTTTCATCATATAGTGAATAAGATGACTGTGGACTTTTTTTTATTTTTTACTTAGCTGATTATTTTGCATTTTTATTTTCAATTATTAAACAAATTAAAGGATTGGATAAATTGTAATTATACATCTTTTTGTTTATAATTTAATATTTTCTACTCAAAAATTTGTGTTTTTGATAGTAATTGTCAAACTAAGAGAATTTTTTTTAAAAATGTATAAAAAACAGGATAGATTGATCTCTTGTAGTTTCTATGTAGATTTATTTATAAATACTTCTTATTTATAATAGCTTATAATTATTCTTTCACCAAAATTTGGACACTTGTCACAAAATGATTTTTGGCCTGACAGATAAAACCATCAATTGTCTAAAACTTACCACCCCTTTCTTAAAGTCAAGAGCCTTTTATAATTTTAATGAATGGTGAGAATATTTTGAAGTGTACTAAGTACTTGCATATGTTGTTGTCGTGCGGGAGGGGGGCTAGAGGAGGTGTGATTGTTCTTGTTTTCCAGTGGCATCATCTGTGACCAAGAATTCACACTCATAAGTCACACCCGTTTATAGGGCGGACCAATTCATTTATCCACAGATCTTAATTTTGATCTGAACCAGAGAACAATCAATCTTCAATGCAGTAGGTACCTCCAGTTTTATTGATTTGTTATGGGAACATGGAGGACTTTGTGATCTGACAAATTTAACATGCACTAGTCATGATATACTACACAGCGAGTCTTCGGCCTGCAGGATTAATACTTGCATACGTAAAACGAGTATATAATTAGAAAATTTTGCTCGTATGAAATTCTATATGAAAACATTTGGAAGTTTTATTTTTAATTTTTTTCCCACCACATTGTATTAGCTAATACACATTTATAAATATATGTGTCATGTTTTATTTTAATGTATTTTCTATATTTTATCTCATTAGTCTTATGAAGAAGAGAGTGGTGCGTATAATACTAATTTTGTAGTTGGATCATATAATAAAGATTTTGAATATGGACCTGATGAACCTGAAGCTGAATTTCATGATTCTGATTCTGAAGATCAAAAACCTAGAATTTTGCTCATGGGTCTGAGGAGGTACATTTTCTTTACGATTTATATCTTTGTAATTTTTATTTATTGCATTTAAACTAATGCCAATTTAAATATTTGATTTTTAGAAGTGGCAAATCATCTATTCAGAAAGTAGTTTTTCATAAAATGTCACCAAATGAGACGTTATTCTTAGAGAGTACAAACAAAATTGTGAAAGATGGTAAATCTTTTTTATTACAATTATTATATCTTTTACTAATAAAACACTATTTGTTGCTTTATTTCATTTTTTTTTTCTTTATAAAATTAGTAGGTTAGTTAGTACATAATAATCTTCCTATTCTTATATCATTTATTTAATCTAATCAAAATAATCTTAAATCTAATAGTTAATTTCATCAGACACTGAAATTTTTAGTATAAATTTGTTGTTTCAATTTTTACATTTTTGTATTGAATTTTTATTTTACTAATTAATAAACTGTGATCTTAATGAAGAATAACATTCAAATATTTTTCAGTATTGCATCTTAGGTGACATGAAATTTTATTTTTAAACTAAGTAAAACTTTTCTAATTTTTTGCAAAAGTTCATTTCGTAACTATTATTTGTTCATTATTGCTATATTATTTCTTAGTTCCTATATTAATATTAAGTGTTAAAAGAGATTTTAAACTTTAATTTTGAGTTATCTGTTCCTAAAGTTTTATACAATTAACTTTAGAATCATATAGTTTGAAATTGAATTAAATAAATACGGTTGAAATCTATAGTTTAAAATTCAAAACTTATTCTATCATTTTGATGTAAAACTAAAAATTTGTGAAAAATGAAATACTTTTCATTTTTAATGCGAATTGTATTTTTTAGATGTTTCCAATAGTTCATTTGTCCAATTCCAAATTTGGGATTTTCCTGGGCAAATAGATTTTTTTGACCAAACATTTGATGCAGATATGATATTTGGTGGGAGTGGAGCACTTGTGTTTGTTATAGATGCTCAGGTAAATCTGTTTTTTCCCCTCTGTTTTAAAAGTTATAATTATGTTTCTTTAAATGCTTAATTCATTTTAAACTACATGTTTGTACAAGTTAATGTGTTACGACGAAATGTTATTGAGTTATATCATATTTGCAAAAATTCAAACTTAATGCTCTTCTATTGATTTTATTTTGCTAATTGTCTTGTTAGTTGTTATTTATTATTTTTTTAAGGAGACTTTTAACACTTTCACTGCCGATCCCATGCCAAGGCGAAAAGAAATTCTTAACTATCAATAGTTTTTGTCGATCAAACATATTAACTGGTAGCAAGATGCATATTATCATTTAACTATTTTGAAGAAAATGTGGAATTTTCCCCTGACAATAACATATGTGTTGATATGAACTTATTCCAAATTTTAAAAACTAAAGTGGTTGCCAAAATAAGAAAATTTAACTTTGATTTTATCTTCATTAATTATCACTTTTAACAATAAATACAGCATATCCTCCTGTACTTGGCTAGCAGTGAATGTGTTAAAATACAGTTTTGTAAATAACTAGTTTTATTATATATTTAACCTTCATTTATTTTGTTTTTATGTCTTGCATTTATTAAATACTGTCACATTTACATGTTGACAATTTGAAAATATTTTCTGTTAGAAAATTGTCTTTCCAAAGTTCGGTGAAAGCTCTGTTAATAAACAAGATTTTGCATCGATTCCCCCAACTAAATTTGCCTCAGTATTATTACTTGATATTCAAAATACTAATATAATATTTTATTCATCTAAGGATGAATACATGGAAGCCTTGGATAGGTTGAAAATGACAGTTGCTCGTGCTCAGAAGGTGAATCCAGTAATAAAATTTGAAGTTTTCATTCACAAAGTTGATGGACTCTCTGATGACCATAAAATAGAAACTCAAAGAGATATCCATCAACGAGCGCATGAGGATTTAATTGATGCTGGATTAGATAATGTTAATTTAAAGTAAATATGTTTGGAGTATTTTAAATTTAATCAATTGTAAAATATTTCATTTGTATGATTCAGAATCTCCTTAATGAATACCAGCTACTTCTTTCTATAGTCAAATATATACTGTTAATTTAATTTCTTTTTTTAGAAAGTAATTTGTATTTAATAGATTGAAAATTTAGAAGTACAGTACAGAACCCGTTATCCGGAATTCAGAAAACCAAAAAACCGGAACAAAATTCGATAAATTCCCCCCCCCCTTTTTTTTAAAAAATTTTTTTTCTTCATAAGATTTTAGGATTTTTCCTTCTTTTTTGACCTTACCATCATTTTGGAAATAATCGTTAGTGTATTACTTAATTGTTTTTTCTTCTTTTTAAGATTATTTCCATTTTTTTTTTTTTAAGTTGGGTTTAACAATAAAAAAACGGCTTTTTGTAGCGATTCAGAAAACTGGAAAAATCAGTTATCCGGAATAGCGATGGTCCCGATCGTTCCGGATAATCCGTTCCCTACTGTACATAATATAAATTTGTGCGGGTCTTCATTATTTCAATTAATCTACACTTTTCACATTTATTTATTTAAAAAGAAATATAAAGATGTTTAATTTAAATATTTTTTTATTATTGTTGATGTATTTGAAGAAAAAAATTTTAATTATTTTTCTGTCTGTTGCATTTTAAGCACATGCTTTTAAAAATAGCAGTTATGATAAAAATGGTGTTATGTAAATTCAAGTGTTGGGTAAATATTAACATTAACTATAATACAAAATTGTCTACTTATTAATTCAACTTCAATGTATATCCTTATCTTTAAAATGTAGTTATTAATTGAAAATATTTGGCTTTATTTTTTCTGTTGACCAGTACTAGATATTTTGATGTAGTTTGACGTGAGTTATACTTTTACGTGACTTTGTAGTATTATGAATAGTAGTTTATGTGTTTTATGTTATGTAAACTGTTAATAAAATGGTAAAATGTAGCAGGTTGAAAAAATTACTAATTAATTACTAATTTTTAATTTGAGTTCTCGAATGAAGACAAATTAACAACAAGAGTTTAACATTTTATTTCCTTATTAATACTTACATTAATGAAAATCATCTCATACCTGTCAGTTGCAAATTTTATCACTTTGCTAGTTTCTAGTTTTTTTAGAAATCAGTGTGTATAAAAAAAAATGTTATGTATGCTTATTTAAACGAAAAATTGTTTTATTACTTTAGGAAGGTTATATTTGTTCTAACTTCTTCCACTTTCTTGAAAAGCAAGCCAATTTTTCTTAGTTCATGCTGTTTTTTTTTCTTTAAAAAATTTAAATAACTTTTATTATGTAAAAAAGTAGTATTAGTAGTATAATTTAGTATTTTAAGTCAGGGCTTTTAACAATTATGTTTAAATTGTTGTCACCTTGTTAATAAATAAAGCTATATTACTTATTCAAAATCTATACATTAGGTGTAATTGTTTTGTATTTTTACCATTTTTATTTTCTTTTAGTTTCTATCTTACAAGTATATATGATCATTCAATATTTGAAGCTTTTAGCAAAGTTGTCCAGAAATTAATCCCACAGTTACCAGCTTTAGAAAATCTTCTTGACATATTTATTACTGTAAGCATTTCTTTTTATAATGCTCATGAATGTAAACTGATCATACTACTAAAAGATATTCATTTAACAAAAAATAAATAAATAAATTATGTGATAATTGTTAACTTTTAATATTTTATTATTAATATATTTTTATTGTAGAATGTTTAGTAAATATTTTATTAGTGTTACACAAACATTTATTGTCACAAACATTATATATTTATTGTGTATTGTATGCACTTTGTATTGTTAGATTGCTTTGGATGTTATTTTATCAATTTTAAATTGTTGTTGGTTGTATAGAATAAGGGAAAAAAGAAATGTGTTTAAATAAGTAGCAACTGAGATTGGCTAATAAAAATCTTGTTGGTTCAGTTTAAAAAGTTACATTTTGTCTTTCACATTTCAAAAGAAAGAACGAAAAAAATTGAAAAGCAATTTATTTTAAACTGGTGGGTTATCTCATTTTAATTTTCATAAAATATGGATAATGGTTTACTATCCAATTTTCTTTGACTTATTTTTTTTTACCTACCAGAAACCGACTACTTTGTCAACATGAATTAAATTTTCTAAGTTTGTATTAAATATAAAGATAATATCTGGTTATCACCAAATAATTGAATACTGCTGGCTGTAAGCATCTTTTTGTATCAGTAATATTCACTAAAATTTTAATAATTGTCTTATTTTTGTTATAATTAACAAAAGAAGAAATTAGTGTCTTTTATATAAAAATATTGTGTCACTAGCTTTTTATGTTACAAATCAAAATAGAAAATCTGAAATTTTATTAAAGAATGACAGGTAGTAAATCTAGTGATGTGATAAAGAATATTTTATTAATGCTAAATCTCGATCCATCTTTTCTCTTGATACTATTTATTACAAATTATAGGTATAGAAAAACAAGTAATGCAGTAAAATAAAGTATTGAATAATTATTTGAAAATGTGTCAAAAATAATGAAGTAGGTCTTAAAAACTAATAAATTTTTAATGAGTGTGTTTAGCATCTTGAATTAATTAATCTTATTCTCAAATTGAAATAACTTAATTTTTTTTAAGGTTCCTAAAATTTCTGAACGTTATATCCAAGAATTTTCTATTTTTAAAAACTATCTAAATGGGTATTATTAACATTATATGAAAACCTTTGTGGCAAGACCATTGAAACAAAACAATATTTAAAGAAAAACAAAAAATACGTAAACAATGAATTAAGTTTCAACTGTGTTTGAATCCGATATTACTTAAAATTTATCGTATATTTAATATCAGAAACTTGAAATTTTCAATATTTTTAACTCATATCTAGCTTCTTTTGATTACATTTCTTTTAAAGAGCTGTTGCCATTATTAGTTGTAAAAAATTTGATAAGTGTTATAAATATCATTATTCAAATCTAGTATTTATATTTATTGAATATAATTGTATTGCATATAATTATTGAAACATTCAATACAAAAATTGTAATTGATTTTTAGAATTCTGCTATAGAGAAGGCATTTTTGTTTGATGTTATCAGTAAAATCTACATAGCCACTGACAGCACTCCTGTAGATATGCAGTCATATGAGCTCTGTTGTGACATGATTGATGTCGTAATAGATGTTTCCTGTATCTATGGGTAAGTTATTTCTATTCAATTCATGTTTATAAATATTTCTACGAAAAGAAATCTGCTTATAACTGTTTGACTTTATAGTATTTTATTTACAATTGGGTGATAAATAATCTATCTTAATCTGACTGATGTAAAAATCATGTGACATAGGTCTATTTTGATTATTGAAACGTTTTCTAATGATGAAAATGTGATGTATTGCTGTAATTAAATTTTATTCTCAATTATTAAAAAAAGTAATGATAGAAATATTTTTTTACTTTATAAACATTTCAAAAAGAATTTTAAAATTTTCTTTTTAGTGATTTGAAGTAAATAATTAAAAAATTAACTGCAATTTTAATCTTGTTTTTTTATGCTCTGTAATTTAGTAACTAAATTAATTATTAGTTTTAATTCCAAATCCTTAGTTGTACAGCTATTAGTGTAACTTCTTTGCAAGAGTATGATTTAGGTCCAAAGATTTATTGTTGAAGTAAATTGTCATATAAACTTTAAATTTGAATAAAAAATTAACTCTTTTATAAGTATTTACATAGTTTTTTTAATATTGCTGTCAGACATTTCTTAATGTCATTTTTTTTTTAAATTTTCTTAAATACTTTTTTTTTTTAAAGAGCAAGAAATATGTTTATTCTACCTAAATAAATTATGAAAGAACATTTTGTTTTTCCTCATATTAATAATGAAGTATTTTATGGTCCATATTGTAAGGTCTAATGGTAAATAAATATGTATGTAAGCTTGTAAACAAAATATTATATTGTGTGTTTTCTGTAATTAGTATTTTTTTGCCATAACCTGAATGAATTGCATTATAAGTGTTACATTATAAAATGAAGTTACTTGTTATATTTGTTTGTTTATATATCACGTTTTATTTATTTCAAATTTAGAAAACTTGAACTCTAAATTTCGATCCTTAATTATTATCTTTACAAAAAATATTTTTACACTATTTTTAATATTGTACATTCAAACTTATTTATTTTGAGAAAAATCCCTTGTGAAATCAAGGTGCTTGTTTGATCCAAGTCTACGAAAAAAAAATTTTGTTGAAAATTAAGCATTATAACGTAAAAATAGTTTGCTTGTATTTTTTATTGTTAAAATAAATTATGGTTAAATTTTATCATTTTATTTGCACTGATGGAAAAAAAATTGTGAGTTTTATTTTTGATATTTCTTGATGACATTATTTTGGCATTGTTTGGTGTACATTTTCTACGTTTTCAAAGATATGTGTTGATAAATTAAATACAGCAATAAAATTTAGAGAAAGATGAAAGTCACAGACAATTCAGTAAGCACATCCAAATAGAGGCATTGGTAATGAAAAGTATTATCTATTTAGTGGTTTGCATAACAACATCTTCAGTTGGCCATTGCAATTACCAAAATTATTTCATATTCATCTTCCGTTGCACTGTAAAGATCTTTTCATTTTAAACTTTCAAAAGCTATAAAATGTCTTAAAATAGTTAGATACTTTTTTCTGACTCAATCCAGAAATAATTTTTGAAAATTTTGTGAAAATTCTTCCTTAATTCAAAATTCAACTATGTTTATAATAATAAAGCTTCATGTAGATTCTTCAATGTAAAACCAATTATTTCTTTAAAAAGAAAAAATCCCTTGTTACAAATGGGATTTTGTTTAATCAGAGCTCGCAATGAAAAGATTTGGTTTCAATTGCAATTGTTTTGCTATAAACCCAATATTTATTCTCAATTTTTCATATTTATATATTTATTCAAAATTTTTTCATTGTAGCTTAAAAGAAGATGAAAGTAGTGCATTCAACTCAAAGTCTTCGAATATAATAGAACTAAATAACAGTACAGTTCTATATCTAAGAGAAGTGAACAGATTTTTAGCATTAGTATGTATTTTAAGGGAAGAAAACTTCAATAAGCTAGGTAAATATTTTATTACTGATTTTGTGAAACATATAATTTCAATTTATTAAAATGATGTTGTTTTATTGATGTAAAGGTTATTAGTTTTTTATGTACTAAACAAGCTAAGGTTTTATTTTCTGAGGAAAGATGCTTTGTTTATTATCTCTCTGTACACCTCTACTACTAATAATATTTCTTTGAACCTTAAAGTTCATCTGTAACTCCTCATCTGAAGAAAGTGAGATAGCTATTTACACTTTTTCAATTAGATCTATTTCAATAGCTATGTTATTCAATATGTGTGCACACTATTACTAATGGAATCAACTTAATCATTTAAACAAATTTTAAATAATTAAATTAAACAAATTTTATTGTGAAATAAAATAAGAAGATATTTTTATTTCTTTTTACTCTATTTACTTCCCTTATTCCATTGATTAAAAACAATAAGTAAACCATCTTTAGTACTGCAGAAATTTTTACATTGCAGTGGATTGAACATATTTTGTGTCAAACATTTAAAAGCTTTTATTGATCCTCTATATTGATATGCCTTTCAAATAAATATTACTTGGATTTTTATTCTATTTTTTAAAGTGTCAAGTTTTATCACTACTTTGTTTAAAAGATAGATTAAAAATGGAAAAATTTTAGTTTATTTTTATCGTGTGCACCTTTGGCACACTTTTAATTTGGGCATTAAAAAAATTTTTTCAATTTTTATTGTTATAAAATCTTTTCTCCGAATTTTTTTTTCTTCTGTGAAAAAAACCATTTTTCACATTTTTTTTGATATTCATAAGTTTATTCTATTGTTTTTAAAAAGTCCCTTTGCATGAGTTTTCAAGCACATACAAATATTTACAAAAGCTTCATTGATATTATCTGCACTTGCTAAAACTTAATAACTCTTATTTCAGTGTGTTTCTTATATTTTTTATATGACAAATAAAGTAATAAATTTTTAAAAACCTATTTATTTCTTGGATGATGTTAAAAGGGTTCTTAATAAGTAATGACTAGTTTTCAATTTCATCAAACTAATGAATTTGTTCTTTAAACTCTAATTTACTTAGATTGATGTCAATAATGATTCATCACCCGATACATAAAAATGTTCAAAATTTACCTCCATGACCCCATTTGGAGAGCAACTAGTATTTTTTTTTTCTATACTAATGATTCAACAGTTCTTGAAAACAATTTTGGTTTATTTTTTCTTAGTTCAATTTATAATTGAGATGCCTATCTGTTATTTTATTAAGACATAATCCTAGACTTAATTTTTAGAAAATATTCTAAAAAATACACATTAGGGTGGTAATTATTGATTATGGAATGTCCTGTTTACAGTAATTCTAATATATAAGGCATGTTGCATGTAATAAATTGCGTGTTGCAGGTTTAATCATGAGTGTTAACATTTATAAATTGGAATGCTTTTACTTTGCTTTATATATATTGCTTACATTCATAAATGTTAGTTATATGAGTATATTTTATTGATATACTTTTAACTCTTTTGAGAGCCAAGCACAGAGTCAAGTTTAGTTCAGTCAAAGTCAAGTTTTCCCTTCAGTACATGTTTCCATTGAATAACATTTTGAGAAATCTGTGTGTTTCCAGAAAACAGCTTTATAAAATAACCACTGAGTCAAAAGAAAAAATATTCAGCAGCATTTTTTAATATATTATATTACTGAAGCATTTATATTATCACAAATATTTATGAACAGGAAAAATTTAATTTATTTTTTGGGGAGGGGAATTTACATCTAAACAATTTAAAATAAACTATTTTTACTCAGTGGAAGCTTTAGAATTTTTGTGTTAAAAAAAATCCTTAATTTTAAATATCCTTAAAATATTGCATTTTTACAACTTTTATCTGCAGGAACCCTTTTTCCTCCGTATTGGTTGTTGATGTTGCACTAAAGGTTTTTTACTGATAAGCTATTGGCAACAGCCCGAGATTGATTCGTAATGATGATTTAAAGACTGCATGCTTTCCCAACAATAATTTAGACTTAATTCACTACAATAATTTAGATAAATGGGTGAATGGTGGCAATACTCTTATTCCATCATATTGAGTGGGCGATATTTTATTCAATGAATATTTAGTGTTAAATAATTATTAAGAATGACTGAAATATTGCCTAACTATAAATATATTTCTTAAGATTTAGTTACAATTAGGTGTCAAAAAATTATGTTTCATATTCTGCATCTCTCTAAAAGATTGCAGGGCCTCTATATTTTGTATCAACTGTTATAACAGAGTATACAATGATCTTATTTAACAATGTGTATACTTTTATATGGTTCATACAAGTAATGATACCTTGGGCTGGATGTGTTTTAAAATTTGTCTTATCACCTTTTTTTATTCTTTTACTCTCTTGGTTTGAGCATTTCCTACTTTTTTTTGAAAGGATATATAATAGGCAGAGTTTATGAAAAAAAATATATATAATTCCCAAACTATAAATGATGTGAGAAATATAAAATTGATCAAAAGCCAAAGCTCGTTTTAGCACTACTCGACTAGAAGTCTATGAACATGTCTTTCTTGTCCCGGAATTCTTAGGTATACACTCTGTTTGAATTTGGTTTGTCAAGGAAACTCACTGTGACACCAATGCACTGAAGTTTGAAGTTCTGAGGTAAAGGGAGTAATTTGCGTATTATCAATAAACAGACAGCTGCCACTCCTAGGTTCCAGACTTCTGTTATACTGAACTACGAAAACTTAACTTACGATATACCAAGTGAGACCTTTGGTTCTTATGTTGAAAAGTGACTGAAATAGCACTGAATTTTTGTTTTGTGTTATGTTGTGTTTTATGGAGGAGGTTGATTCTCCATCAGTAGCCGCCAATATTCGTATAGTGGAGAATAACTTCATGATTGTTCATTTTGGCCATTAATGAATGGATTAAATAATTAACAGTTTCCAGGAAAGAATATACAAATTGTTTAATGAAATTTAGATTTTATTAAGCATAATTTTGCATGATAGAGAATGGGCATTTCTTAACAAAAAGGATCAAATCAGAATACTCTCTATTGAGAGATCATACAGCCAGAATATCATTTTCTGACGGTTAGAAATTGAGACTGGTTGCTGAGGAAAAGAGAGTAATTTACGTAGTCAGTATGTACAGTCTCCACAATTTTGAAATTAAAAGTGAATATAATTATTCCCAATGGACATAGAAAGTATGGGTAGGAGATCCCAAATTGGCGATTTATCATAATATATCATAGCCAAAACAAAACCAACTAGCATATCAATATAGGTTTAAAAGAATACCTTGGCGATCACGAATCGCCAACAAATGTATGAGAATTATTACAACTATGCAACTGAAACAGTTAGCGGTTGGAAATTTAGACTAAAAAGTTATAAATAGATTTTTGTTTTCGATTAGAGGCGACAGTGAATTAATAAGTCTGCATTAGTAATGAAATAAAAAGTATCCATTACATTGATCTATAAGAGAAGATAAGAGAGATATTCGTTTTAAAAGATTAAGTCTTTGATTTATTTTAAATATAATTCTATTAATAAAAGATAAGCTAAAGTAATGAAAGATATTTTAAAAGGATAGAAAATAAATATGTAATGCCACTTGTGGCATCACATGTTTATTTTTATGAACATGTGATGAACATGAAAATTTTACTTACTGGTTGACCTTCTTGTTTAAATTAATTTCAAAACTGGTAAAAAACAAATATAAATCTTTAGAATTCAATTTTTAAATACAGTTTTTTCTTCATAAATACCCACTTTATAATCTAAGTTTCGGCCCTTGGGACTTCATGAGTTATTCAGCGTGGCCTTTAAGCTAGAAAGTTTGGAGGTTATCTGTCCTTTCAATTATTACATTGTTGACAATTTTCCTGTAATTTGTTAAAAGGGTTTTTAAATGAATGATTTAGGGAAAAAATAATTAATGAATCATTAGTGACAGAACCTGAACAATGCTCTGTGTTTCTTATTTAAAAATTATTTATTTTAGCAGCATTTAAAAGAATGCTTGTTTTTAAAGACTGTTATTAATATTTTAACAGTAAAGTTTTATAATTTCTAACATATATATTTTTTTTTTTTACAGCACTTATAGATTATAATTTTCATTGCTTTAGACAAGCTATACAAGATGTTTTTGATGTACGTTTTAAGACTTCAGAATCTTCAGGTACTCACTCAACTGTGGAAAATGTATTAACTAATGGTCATGGTGACTAACAATAAAGAGTGCCTTATTATCATATTAGTTAAAGTGAATAAATTATGATTTAGTTATTTTTGAGACATATTTTGGACTTTAAATATTATCAAAATTGAATCACATTATAGTCTTCTGTTATTGACCTATCAAATTATATTTTTTATATCTCTTTATAGTAAAAGTTCAGAATAAAAAGTTATATAGTTTTAATTTGATTTACCATATGGAAATTAAAATGAGTTTGTGCTACTTTTCTTTTTATTGTGATTGATAGCTTAAATCTAATTTTATTATTTATGATTATTGTATATTTTATATTGTATATTTTATATTGTATAAATTTATTGTAGTAATGCTTTGTATTATTATTATTTATTTTTGACATTCTGCCATATTTGAGCTACATGCCTTTGTATTGTTTCCTTCTGTAAAATTGCTCAATTGATCAATGCGAAATTCGAACCATATTGAGTATCACAATTAATGTGCTTTGTATAAAGATTCCGTATCAATTGTACATATTTTTGTCAAACTCTATTACATTTTTGTGTGCTCTGAGCTTGTATAAAATGTTTTTAACTTATGACTTGTATATAACATTACTTTCTCATACAGTAGCAAGATATGTTAAACAAACAATAAATATATTTTTACTGTCCGTTTAGTTTTTTTCATATTAGTTCAGTTTTCAGCTAACCTGAAAACTTCCCCAGACACTGGACTCATATGTTGGTAGTTATGATAAAAAGTCACTCCAATTCGAAATTCAAGGTTACTTGCGACATTGTTTTAGTATTAAATTGTCTTAACCATATTGTTTCTTTCATTCTCCTCCATTTGAAATAATTTTGTTCCTGTTTCCATTGTAGCAGGGAACCTTATACTATTTATGAAAAGAAGTCTTTTGTGATAGCTGCACTGTACTGATCTCACATTCTATAGGCCTTGCTTTTATTTTGAAATTATTTTAGATTTCTCTCATCTATACTGATATAAACTGTTTGCAGATTTTTGAAAAAGTAAAGAAGCCTGTCAATATGAAATATAGTTTTTTAAGTAAGTAAGAGGCATAAAAACAATGTAATTCTAACGTTTTCTTTCACATTTCATATTCAAACTTCTCAAAAAAATTAACCTAAGGCCTTTGTGTTAGATGGACCATGAATTGTATAAATTAATTCTTTTAACCACTCTAGAAAGAATCAAAAAAATTTTTGATATGTACAAATTAAATTGTGTATAGTAATGAATCATTATATAAATAAATAACTTACATAATCATTATATGAATAAATAAATACAAGCCTAGTACAATCTTACATAAACTGGGTATTAGGTTAATATTTGCTTTTCTTCTTTACATAAGACTGTTTAAAAATTTTCTTGTAACTGCGTCAATGTCCTGGCTTTCATAAGCCAGGAAAATGACAGTCAGGTTAATGACAATTTCCTATTTTACAGCTTTTAATTTAACATTTTGTCCCGAGAAGTTTACTTTCCGCAGAAACAACAGGGTCTCTTAAAATAACTCGGGTAAATCTATATAGTTTATGTTATTAATGATTTCAAGAAGACAGGAAAATGACAACATAAAAAACTACTCCCTTTGTAAAATTGTTTGAAATAGATTTCAACTCAGAAAGTTGGTTCTTTATTCCTGCAATAACACATGCTCTGATAGGATGGTATTCTAATCAATTTTTTAACCTAAGATATTGATTGCTGGCGATATCTATTTTGGTTATTAAAAAAAAAAAGTGGCCAAGAAAATGACTGATTTTCATGTGACAAACAAATTATTGACAGAAAGACTTATTTTCAACACAGTTTTTGGAAATAATACCCACTGCATATATTCCAGAAATGCTTACAACGGTTGAGATAAAAAAAATTAGATTTTAAAAAATTTATGGGAAGTATTGAAGCTAGTTATTCTCGGATATGTTTGTGACATACCAGGAAAATGACATTTTGAAATTGAATTCAATTTTTTAAATATACAGAACAGATTATCGTTTACGTTGATGTTAAGAAAGTCGGTATCTCTAGCAAATAATTTTGGTTTTTGCTTATAGTTTTAGTTACCGCTCGATATGCAGTGTTTCGTCCAGTTTTAAATATGATGGTTGCATTAACACAATTTTATAGTTTATTTGCAGATTTTTAAATTCAATTTTTACCACTAATGAGTAAAATTTAGTTCTTCAGATTCTGTGAATTGAGAATCACACATCATGATTCGCTTGAAAGTGGTTTACGAATCCCGTGTCGAAGATCTCATTGAAGTGATTCGTTAATCACTCATCGGGATGAGTATTAAAATACTTTCTGAATTATATTAAGCGATAAGAATTGAGTGTTTTCTAAATAATGCATCTCAATCATATGAATTGCGAATCACTCATTAGGATATAATTGAGCATCGCAACTAGATTAGAGGGATTTAAGAATTACAGTTTGCGATTCTCTTCTAAGAGATTTATGAATCATACAAAGCGATTCTAATTTTTTAAGTTACTTATCGAATCGCATTGCAATGATTACCAGATTTTTGCATAAAACTGACTGGCAAATCACTCATTGCGTTTTGTATTGAAGTAATCAAAGAATCAAACAACGCAATTGGCATTAAAACGACTTATGACTTGCTACTTAGTTCATTTTTCAAACTATCATTTGCTATTCGTATTGTTTCGATCTACAAGTCATACGTTGTGATAGTTTTTCAGGGCTTTCTTTATGTAATTAGATTTACGTGGACATTTCCAAATTAGTTTGGATTTATGTCAAAGTGTAAATAAACGCAATATGGATCCTGCTATTTTGAAAGTCTTGACTTATGAGACAGAGCAACACCTCTTAGATAAGAGCTGGCCTCAGCACGGGTTACCATAAACATTCTTTTGTAGTCCAAACGTAATGGCATTTTCAACCACTGCGCAGCTTACTCGTAGTACCCTTAACGAAATGACATCTTTCTTATTTTTCATCTACTGCACAGTTGACTTCGTTAGATCGGACTACTAAATCGATCCGTGCTGAGGCCTTCCTTCTTCCAGGAGGTGCTGACCCGAGTGGTTTCGGATCTACATCGACGGATCCCTCCTACCCGACAGTCCTAATGCTGCAGTTTTCTCCGAGGCTTTTTCCTTTTATGCTCCTGTGAGACAGGGATCTGCTTTATTTTGGATTGCCGCCTCCAACTTGAATACCTAGCATCCCTTAAGAAAACCATTGTTCTCCTGCCCATTGCAGGGTTACGGGTAATGAAAATGCAGACTACTTAGCAAAAAAGGGCGCCTTAATTATTCAGACTTCTGCTCTATCAAACAGCTTATTAAGACTAAGATGATCTTTAAGACATGTGCTCATGAATAATTTATCGACCGTACTTCTACTATGTCTTGGACTTGAAGGACTACCATCCTAAATTTGCGAAATGGCCCAAGACGAAGAGCGGTTGCTGAACCACAACGTAACTATCAAAGCATCTACATTAGTAGCTGAGGGTTACAAAACATATTAAAAAATTGCCAGAACTATTTAAAAAAGTAAAGTCGAATAACTTAATGTTTCAATGTAATGAGATGGCATTGTTTTGAAAATAGAGAGGAAACCTCGTCTAACCCATGATCTGTCAACCACTTAGAATATATTACATCAGCACCGTGGTCAGTGCGGAATTCGTCATCGCTGGGATTCGAACCCAGTACTTCTCATTGGGAGGTGAACGCTCTTTCGCCTGTGCCACTACGGCTCCCTATAATGGTAGTACATATTTACGCATTTGATATTGCCACCTAGACAAGTAAAATATTATTTCTAATACCTCCCCCCCCCGCATGAATTGAACAAACACTGCTGCCAATGGTGCTGATTCAGACTCACCTGTAATTATCTTTCAGTGCCTATTGCTGAACATGGCAAGATTTTCAATGGATAACATTTTTCTCTGAACCAGATGAATTTAAATTGATAAAATAAATAATTAAAATTCTGAAATGTTTTTTTCTTTCATTTTTTTGAAAGAACACGATAAAAACATTTCATATTATAATAAAATGAGACTGTTAGTGAGGATTCTGTTACAAATTCAGATAATCTGAAACCCGTGAAAGAGAGAGGTGTGGTAAATTTAATTTTAAAAAATTCAATGATTTTAAAGGAGTGCGGATACCTTGCATTTATTTAATTCACACCAGCGGACCCTAGTTTTTCATGGCTATGAAACCTTAAAACCTTTTTGAAGGAATCTAAATAAAGACAATTGTGTGCATATTAATCACAGACATTTATTATTGCTGCTAAAAAATTATATATACAGTAGAGCGCCGGTTATCCGAACCATGTCTGAATTATTATTTTTTTTTAAAAGTTTGGAATACTTTTTAACCTATCAACAATTTTTCTAAATTAAGAATAAACAATAACCCCTACATCTGAAGACCATATTTAATTTACAACCTTTTTAGCAGTTTTCTTATAGTAGCCATGCATACATCAGGGGTGATTGTGAGCCCAAGTCAAAATTCCGGAAAATTTCTTGAGTTAAAAAAAAAAGTTTAAATTGAAAAAAATTAAAACAAGATTTTTCTTCCTTTTTACTCAGTTTGCTTAAAATATTTTTAAAATTTTAGACGTACCTGTACCACTTACACATACCTAGATAAAATTTACAAATAAGTCTTTCTTGAGTTTATGATTATAACTATTTACTGATTAAAAAAAATATTAACCATGAATATAAGCTTATAAAGTATATCTCTGGCTCTCCCTTACAAACAAATAAAATGTTTTTAAGTTCCACCTTTGAAAATTTGATTTCCGGATCACTGATAGCGAAAGGTCCGGAATTTTTCTGGAGCACAATCAGCCCTGATACATGTATTGTGATACAGTTAAACCTACATACCCCTTTCAGGGTGCGTAGCCAAATCTTTGAATCAAAAATAAGCACTTATTAAAACCTTTTCAAGCACTTTACAAAAATTTTCAAGTACTCAAAAAATTCATATTCAATGAATGATATTATTGAAAAACAAAAACTTTTTTATAAAGAGTTTTAGCGTTAAAAAAACAAACCCAAAAAGAAACGGACGTAAATCAAAACAATCAGTACTTTCCCACATCACCGAGTGAATTCAACTTGACCCTGAACAAAAGTACCCTTACCCCCTACGTCAAAAAAGTGTTAGAAGTAAAATAAAATAAACAAGAATAAAATTAAATTAAATTGAAAAACATTTCATAAGGATCTGATATTCTCTATCCGAATTGGAGCACTCGGGTTTCGATTTTAAGTGTGCGCGCATGCGCAAGTCATAACGTAGGTACGACATGAAGTAGTACCCCATTTTTCGTGAAATGCATGGGATTCACCAGATATCACTGAAGAAAAAAAGCACTTTTTAAAAACACCAGCTGAAAAAAGCACCTTTAAAAGTTTTTAAAAACGAAATCCCCAAAAAAGCACCTTTAAGTACTTTTTACAAACGCTACGCACCCTGCCTTTATAACTGAAAATTATCTTCCAAGAATGCGAGCTTCATTTTGATAGTCTACAATGGTTGGAATGCAGAAGGAGTTTATGAATAGATAAGTGCTGAAGTTCTATAATTGGGGGATGGGTAGATGTCACTTATGGTTAACGATTACAGTGCTTGGAATCTTAAATCTCGGAATAAAATTCTTAACAAAAAAAAACAAACGAAACTGAAGTTTCTGAACCAGTAGATCTTTCGGATGAAAATGAAATTGGTGCTGAAATTTTGAAGGAAAATCTGAACTCCACAGACGAAGAAGTAGGTGATCAAGTTCAAGATAGTGGACCTTCTCATATAGATTTTGCAATGAATTGGCTAAAATGTTATGATGTTGATTCAGTTCGGTTGATTTATTTAAAAAGAATAAAGGATATATGGCTACTAAAAAAAAGCTTCTTTTAAACGAAGTCTTTGCTGGCTTTCTTTTGCAATGGAAAATACTGAAATATGTGGTAAAATCAGTAATAAAAAATTATAAAATACTGAAATCTGATAAAAATAATTCAAAATGAAAAAAAAAAACATTAAGAAAATTAATTAAAAATATTTAAAAGTTGAAAAAAAAAAAACTGATAGTATTAAGCCTACAAAAGGTGAGCAGGGAAGTTAGTGTATAAATAATAACCATTTACATTAGATTTTAAACAACTTCCCAATTATCCGAACCATCTTCGGTCCCAAGCAGTTCGGATAATCGGCGCTCTACTGTACTAATTTCTCTCTTAGGCATTCTATTTTAAATATAACTCCATTAAGGCAATACAAATAAGTAAATAATGGATTATCGCATACCTGCAAACCCTGGAGAGAAAAAATAACCAAGACCTTTCTTTACCCGTGACGTAGTTTTAATACAATATGCAAAATCAAAAATAAACACTTAATTTTAACATCAGGTAGCAGTAAAATTACTTTTCACCAGAAAGTAAATATGATTCCTTATTTATTTTATCTTGCTCTGCAATATCTTTTTAAACTGTTTTCATGCAATTCAATTTCTAGTTGTTCGAGATAATTGTAAAATATAGGAGGCTGCATTATATGTTATTATATGACTCGACAGATATGTTATTTATAGGATCTCCAGATTCCAAAATGAAGAACTAAATCCCCCCCATGTACTTACTAAATAATGTGATTAAATGTAAGGTCCCCCAATCCAGTTTATTTCAACCCTCAAAATAATAATAATAATAAAAAAAATAAGACAGGCTCATTCACCAGGACTAGAAATAAAGACAAAACAAAGATGACGATTTTTTTTCTTTATTTTATTAAATGAAACAATCAGACATGGATTTATTTACTACTCTTGGTGGGAAGAATGATACCATCATACTGAAAAGAGAAAAAAGTGATAAGAAATCAAAGATCAGAACAGAGATATAATATTAAATATACTATGCTCAGAAAAAGTTAAAATAAAGCTCAATTAATGTTACAAAAACAAACTAATACTGGCTCTATGAGCAAGAGCATTTTTCAACAGCCAAAGACAGAAATGCCTTAACAGGGAGAATCTTTTCTTACTTTATAGAATTGTAACTAGCGCTCACATACCAAAAAGGCATATAGTTTTTTTTTACATTAAATTAACCACTTCAGCAAACAGCTTTAAATGACAACTTAAAATAGCGGAAAAGCATAAACCATTTCTTATTACTCCTTAGACAATACTAAACAAATATAATTAAAATGTATTAATATTACTATTACAATACTAAACAAATATAATTAAAATTTCATTACTATGAAAATAACTTGCTTAAAAATCTACCGAATTAAGCTGAACTCAAGACTTCCTAGCATCATTAGTGAATGATAGAATATTCTTCATATGAAACACAACATAGCTCCACAGAAAGATTACTTAACTTATTCCTGGAATACTTTGCCAGTGTTTGAGCTGACCAACTTTTTTCTGATCACTCATCGAGTGCCATAAAATTTTAAAGACACTTAGTTGCAAAACAAAAATTCGGTTGATATTCAGAGATGCATCAATCATAAATTGTGAATTATTCCGGCAACTAATAATTTACATCATGAATGCACAAGATAAAATTAGAATAAGGCAGAGCTTCCTAACCCCTCAACTGCCAAGTAAAATGAACGTGACTCACTCCCCAGTGACACCGTTTTTCGCTCAAGTGCACTTTCTTACACGGAGTTTTGGAGGGGGAAATGATGCACGCTTTGCAATTTAAAAACAGTTATATATTTTATATATTTATTTAACATATATTTTACAAGACAAGAAAAAGGAAAGAAAGAAAATACAAAATTCAAACTAAATAATAAAAATACGATTAATACGATATCACTTTTCCATAACATCCTTCTCCCATTCCCCCTCCTCCGAAATACATTCGCAACGCAAACACTTCCAAGGCCATTTTACTGCATTCTGAAGTAGGGGGTGTAATTCTATTTATAGCAGCACAATGCAAAGAATCGTACTCCGGGAAAGTGTATATATACGCCTGCGGTAGTTAAGGGGTTAACTAATTCATTTACAATGTCTTATAGTGACCGCACATTCAACTGATCTTCAAAGCCAGGAAAGTGGCTGAAACAGTGCTGTTACATATTAAGCTCGACTCTGTATCTTTGAGGAAAGAAGAAGCTTGTTTACACAATTCAGAACTAGACCAAAGATGAGGAAAAATAACTACATTTCGCCTTAAAACAGGGACAAAGCTAACTTAGTCATATCAAAGCTAAAAATAGACTAATCGTCCATTTACAGCCTAAAATAAAGAATTGAAAAATGTTTCTCTTATTAGTACCATTATTAGTAAATTGGTAACAATGGGTTGCAACAAGAATTGATGTGGCACAAATATTTATATAAACTGTAAGTCTTATACAAATAAGCCTCAGCCGATGCAGTGCTCAATATTATGTTAGATCCATAATTTTTTAAAATTTAATGTAATATTTACTTAAACTAAGTTCACCCTCGGAATAAACAAGAGCAAGGTGCTTCCTCACAGAAAAGGGTACCCAGAGTTTTGAAAGGGCACTCACTAAGGTTAAAATTAATCAAAATATGTAACAACTGAATTTGATCCTCTATTTTTAAACTACCCACTTATACTATAGTTCATTCGACAGGAGTTGGCACTCAGCCCCGCTTTCATCATGTGGCATCCGACGTTATTAAGTCGCCATTTTTTAGGAGAAGGACGCGAACAATCCTGCTATTCAGCGATCGCATGACACTTATTTCGCAATGGTAATGTGAATTTTTTTTTTAAAACATGAAATATTTAATAAATTTGATGGTATTCCTATCTTTTGAGACAATTTGCTACAATATAGCCAGAGTAATGAAAGGCAGATAAAGCGTAGTAAGAGACTGAAAAAGAATTCACCGTATGCATTTGGCACACATTAAGGGCAGGGAAACTTTTGTCATCTTACTCCTACACTCAAAATGAACTTGTCTGAGGAGGTGGAGACAAGTGCCAACTCCCGGTGAACGAACTATATTTTATGTGTATTTCAAAAAGGAATTCTTACTCCATATCAAAAAATGAGATTAATTAGTAGTTAATAAATTAACCTATAAGCTTTTTTCTACAAGTTATATTGAAAATTATAAAAAAATCAACATTTAAAGGTGCGTTAAAAACAGGTATTAAAAATTAATTAATACACCCCTTTATCCAAAAAAGAAAAACATAACCAGCTTAGAATAATCTTAACAAAATAAAAATTTGCAATAGCAATAAGAATGAAACCTATAAAAACAATTTTACCAGATAAATTATTAATTAAACAATTCAACTTTTTGAAAATGGAACAAGAATATAAAGGCGGTGTTTTTGAAAGTGGCCGGCAGGGCGGGCCACTCTCCCCCAAAACACTCGGGACAGACTTACATTATCAGTGATATTTTAAACTGCTATATTGCAGAAGATGCAAAATAGCAGATTAATCTGTTTCTCTTATTAGTACCATAATCAGTAAATAGGTGATAATGGGTTGCAACAAGATTTGATATAGCACAAAAAATTATTTAACTGAAAACTTATACAAACAAGCTTCAGCCGATGCAGTGCATATTCTTCAAAGCAGAGAGACAACATAAAATTGCACTTTCATATAAATCTTAGCAAGGTCACATAGATTACCTTTTGCTGAAACCATTTCATTGCTTCTTCTTTACATAGACGATGTTTTGAGCCGACAGTTCCCTTATTCCTTCTCCTGTATGCCACATTGAATCCAGGCCGTCCTAAAACTACATAAAAATCAAGTCCGTAGATACCAATTGATGGATCATATTTAATACCCAAGTCAATGTGTTCTTGAATTCCAAAACCAAAATTGCCTGTATCAGAGAAGTTGTCTCTTTTTAATTCATATTCTCGAACCTGAAAGTGAATGACTTTTAGAAATACATAATAGTTCAATCAACAACAGTTTAGACTGAATTATATCAATTTTTACCTTAAGACCTTTTTCTAAAATTTCTTCAGCCTTAGGCCCTCTAACAGTACAGTGAACAGCTATTTTTTCATTTCTTCTGATACCAAAGGACCTAACAGTATACCTTGCCTTGGAGAACACAGGTTGCTGACCAGTCAATTGCTCCAACACCTTAAAAATGAAATCAATAAATGCTACTTAGAGCTGACATCAATATACTTCATACTAAGTAAAAATCATATAATTTATATAAATTGAGATAAGACCGCTGGAAGAATTAAACTAAAACAAATCTTAATCTGGGAAGAAAAAAATACTCAGCATAAGTAAGTAAATTTGCATACAACAGAAAATACGTAGCAAACAGGATTTGCACTAGAGAAATGAGGAAAAAAAAACGTACACATAAAATTAGTAATTCCTAGAGTAAAAACTAAGGTCACCAGAATTTATAAAAATAAATAAAGGCATGTAAGACAAAAAAGCAAATCCTTTCCCTGGTCAGGAATGAGTTAGCATACTATGCAGAGAATGAAGACACAGAGCATTATTTTATCTAATTAAACCAAAGAGACAACAAATATCCGCAAAGGGAATCTGATTCCGCCAGACATCAGAAACTATGGGTAACAAAAGCAGTAATATACATTGACAAATGTCCCCACATTTTTTCTTTAGTTCTATTGTCAAGCTTATACAATATTTAATAAATAAAAATGAGCAATAAATGAAAAAAAATTTCCCCCAGGTTCTTTCATATCCTGATTAGACTGTAGTACGTCAGCAGAATTACTAGAAATAAAAGTGAAGAGCTAGTATCAGAAACTTAAATGGTGGTAAAATATCTCATCACTCACAAGTCAAGAGTAGCAAATTAGATCATCACCCACTAGCATTTAGCACAGGGAAGCCATAAAGTTTATTATTTTCTATAGCAATCAGTATCAGAAACCTAAATGGTGGTAAAATCTCATCACTCACAAGTCAAGAGTAGCAAATTAAGTCATCATTACTGAGTATATTTTGTTATATCAAGAGGAGAAAAAAAAAACCTCACCGCAGCAAATATACAACAAGTTATGTTTTGAAATCAACAGAAGTGAAAGATTATAATAAGCTAATTTTCTACAATAGTAACTATCAGACCCCAAGGATAAATTAACAACAAACAATTTAGTAAGAATAATTCAGCAACATAATTAACTAACATAGTTTTACATGGTTTCAAATACTATGGTAAAAACTCAGGGTATTATCATATTGCCCAATACTCTAATATTATACAGAAATTTTATCCAAGCAACACAAAATTTTGAGAAATTAGAAGTAAACTACAAAACAGAATTGTATATTAGCCAGTTTTATATACCCTTTTAATTTACACATTAAGCATGATATAGTCAGAATAGTTTCTTAATGTGCAATCAGTAGCATAACTGACAAATTTCTCAACAGCAGATGATAAATGTTAGATAAGAAAGTTTTAATTTTTCAACAAATGTATCTTTCAGTAAAATTCTCTTCTTCAACATGCTAATCAGTAGCAGAACTGACAAAATTTTTCATCATAAAAGTACATACCCAAGAAAATTAAGACCATGTGCTAGACAACTATTTGAACATTACCTTAGCAAGTTTTTTAAGCACAAAAAATGCTACAATAATATTAAGTTTAGTCTTTCAGTGAAAAAAATTTTCTTCAACAATCAGTAGCAGAAGTGAAAAATTCAGATAAAAAAATTGCAAAAGAGAATTATCATTTAGAATTATTACTAATTCCTGGAATAAATTTTACATTAAAAAATGAGTATTTATCTTTCAGTGAGAAAATTTTCTTCAACATGCATCAGTAGCAGAACTGACAAATTTCTCATCACAAAAATCGTAAGAGTTTTAAACAGCAAAAACCTAAAAACATATTTCGAATTTCAGTGAAATAATTTTCTTCAATATACTAATCAGTAGCAGAACTGACAGATTTCTCATCATGAAAACCTTAACAAAACTTATTGAGAATTATTTAAAATTATTAAAATATTTTAAATTAAAAATAATTATTTTTCAGTGATAAAATTTTCTTCAACATGCATCAGTAGCAGAACTGACAGATTTCTCATCACAAAAATTGTAAGAGTTTTAAACAGCAAAAACCTAAAATCATATTTCGAATTTCAGCGAAATAATTTTCTTCAATATGCTAATCAGTAGCAGAACTGACAGATTTCTCATCACAAAAACCCAAAGATTTTAAATCAACAAAACATAAAAAAACGTATTTAGAATAATTTAAAATTATTAAAATATTTTATATTAAGAACAATTATTTTTCAGTGATAAAATTTTCTTCAACATGCATCAGTAGCAGAACTGACAAATTTCTCATCATAAAATCCCTAAGAATTTTAAAATAAAAACCTTCTGTTTGGTAGTGTTTAAATATAAAATAATTGAATATATATATATATTTTTTTAAAGAGAACATGATCATAATAATTTAATATTATTATAAGTAACAAACTAAATCAAAAAGAAAGCCTGAACATTAAGTCATTTAGGTAGGACCTTTATTTACTTATGAAACAAAAAAACAGTATAAGAATAAGACTATATCAGATAGAGCTAATAAATTTTATCATATATATCAACTTGGCTTTAGTCATCATGACAGACAGGTTATAAAAATGCAATGAAGATAAGCATACAACTAATTGAAGATATTTTAAAAAAGATTAGGAAATTCCCTGATCAGAAAGAAATTTAGGATCAATAACATGAAAAAGCTAAAAATAATCATCAGAGTACCAAATGTCTTCAACATACTTATCAGTAGCAGAACTGGCAAGATTTCTCATCACAAAATATTCACAAGATCACTTTAGAATTAAGGAACGATTAGATTTTAAACACATCTGAAAACCCCAGTATTTTAGGTAAATACTCATTTTATATGACAATAAACATCAAAAAATATAGAATCATAAACAAAATCTCTAAGCATACACGTACAGACAATTTTTTTTTTTTTTTAAAATCATTATCAATTTAATTTAGCAAGCTTCAGGCACAAAAATGGTGGTAAGATTGCTCATCATGTTACATCAAGAGTAGCAAATTTAAATCATCATAAGCATAATTCACTCACTAAATTGAAACTAGGAGAGGAAAAAAAAAGCAACTTAAAATATTGATTTTAAATTAAAAAAATAAATAATCTGCTTGTAGAAGTTGCCCAACTAAATTTATAAAATCTAATTAACTATCAGACCTCAGACACTCAAATGGTGGTAATATTATTCATCATATCACTCAAGAGTAGCAAATTAATTCATCACAGGCCAGGTTACTCAGAATTAGGAAAGCTTAAGAAAAACTAAAATTTAATCTTGAATCGAATCATACTTGAAAATGATGTCAAACAGTTCAAAGTCATAGTTAAAAACTTCTTAAGAATTATCCTGATAATATTAAATAAAGTTGCACAATTTATTATTCTAAAAAAAAAAGAAAAAAAAGTAACAGAAAACATAGCATGCTTGACAGCTTACGAGTTTCAGCCACTTAAATGGTGGTTAGAATTCTCATCATATTACATCAAGAGTAGCAAATTATAGCATCACAAACTCGTAAATTAAAACTCACATACAAACAGTACAAACTCACTTAAAAAAAAATTAAGATATTAAGTAGCTAAAACTATTCAAGTTAGTAACTAAATTTCTCTTTTTGTTTGTCTACCAATTTAAAGAAAGCCTGAACATCCATCCTAAGAGTGAATCCTTGTCAATTACAATAGTGCAACAGTTAAATGTATAAGTCAGAGTTAAAAAGCTCGTAAAAATGTTCTTCATAACATTTCAGTATAAATATATCTCTCATCATTCAAAATAATAAATTAAAGCATTATATCAAGTAATTCCATAGCACTATTTTCTCATAAAGCAAATTTGCAGATAACAAAATTCACTAAAGATAAGCAGTAAAATATGATTTTTACAGAGAAAATTTCTATTTGGATCAGAAACAAAAAAATATTCGCTGCAACATTTACCACCTTTGCTAGAAAACTACCAAGAGTCCAAAACAATCAGAGTTAAAAAGCTCATTAAAATATAGCCTTCAGGAAACATTAGGACAGATAAATCTCATCATGATAGATAAATCGACTAAAGGAACAAAATAGTTAAAATTACATTCAGAGTTAAAAAGCTCGTAAAAATATCCTTCACATCACATCAGGATTAATAAAACTCATCATCGTTCATGAAATTTTAAACCCATACATAGGGCATTAACACAAAAATCTCTACATCCAGGTCATGTCATTTAACAGTTTTAATCTAGAACAGTGGTTTCCAACTGGCGGCCCTCGAACTAAAATGTATAAGTAGTTACCTTTTAGCGTACAATTTTCACAAAACTTTATATGGGTTTAAAATTCTTTTCTTTCATCATAAAACTTCTTACATTAATTTATAATTCAATACTTTCGTTTACTAAAAACTGACAGTAATATATAATGTTTCTTCAAACATAAAAGAGTCCTATATAAAATTTTGATGAAGTTGCGGCCTGCCATTAGACTGGAGATTTTAATTGTGGCCCCAGCCTCATGTAAGTTGGAAACCCCCGATCTAGAATTTATATTCTTAGCTTACAAATTTTATGAACAAATTATCTAACCCAAAAGTTGGCAATTTAAAGCATTTTGAACTAGCTGATACAGAAAACACTGATCATGTTGCAGTAAAAGATCAGATAAGGAATTCACTCTATACCAAAATAATCATTATCAGATAGAGCTAATAATTTTTTATATCATTATAAATCTATTTGGCTTTAATCATCATGACAAACAGGATATAAATAAGCCCAATAAAAAGAGATACACACATATATATGCACAAGTAATTATCTAAGAATTGACTAGAATCAGAACAGAAGAGTTAGAATATTGAGCTACGCTAAATACAACCATACATCAATTGAGAGGTTAACTCAATAATTGTCACCTAAACACTATTCCAAATAACTATATTTATAAGCCTTTCTAGTTGTATCAGATAGAGCTAATATACTTTCACTTACAAGTCAGTCTTGCATCTATCATCAAATAAATTAGTTATAAAAGAAAGAGTTTGAATCAACTGTAATTTTACTTTGATNAGCAAACTTTAAATTTTGCTATCTACCATAGCTTCTCACAACCAAGGCCATTTATTCTATAAGTGCTAAAAAGCTCATAAAAATAAAATAAAATACTAAGTTTTTTCTGTCTACCATTTTAAAGAAAGTCAGCACATCACAAAAGAGTGAATTTACATAAACTAGTCAATTAAAATATTGTAATAGCTAAAACGTATACGTCAGAGTTAAAAAGCTCGTAAAAATGTTCTTCATAACATTTCAGTATAAATATATCTCTCATCATTCAAAATAATAAATTAAAGCATTATATCAAGTAATTCCATAGCACTATTTTCTTAAAAACCAAATTTGCAGAAAACAAAATTCACAAAAGTTAACTACGATTTTTGCAGAGATATAATATCAATTTGGATCAGAAACAAATATACGCTGCAACATTTACCACCTTTGCTAGAAAATTACCAAGAGTTCAAAACAATCAGAGTTAAAAAGCTCATTAAAATATATCCTTCAGGAAACATTAGGACAGATAAATCTCATCATGATAGTAAAAAATGACTAATGGAACAAAATAGTTAAAATTACACTCAGAGTTAAAAAGCTCGTAAAAATATTCTTCACAGCACATCAGGATTAATAAAACTCATCATTGTTCATCAAATTTTAAACCCATACATAGGGCATTAACTCAAAAATCTCCACATCCAGGCTATGTCATTTAACAGTTTTGATCTTGAACAGTGGTTTCCAACTGCCGGCCCTCTACAACATATTAGTAGTCATCCTTTTGCGTACAATTTTGTAAGGGTTTAAAACTCTTTTCCTTCATCAAAACCTCCCCTAATTTCTTCATTTCTGTGAAATTTTTACCAACGGTGCAAAAAAATTATTTTCCAGGTTTTGCATTCACGAAAATCGTTATTCAAATGCAAAAATAATCAAATAAAATAATCATTTTTATTTTATATCTTCGTAAACATATCAAAAAATTTATCAAAGTTCTCAGATTTAACTTTTTGAAGCCACTCAATTTGGAAATATGCAACTAAATATTTTTTAAAATCTACTTCTTACTTTAATTTGTAATTCAACACTTTTGCTTACAACAACTTAATAAAAAATTGACAGCAGTATTTAATGATTCTTCAAACATAAAAGAGTCCTATATAAAATTTTGATAAAGTTGCGGCCCCAGCCACATGTAAGTTGGAAATCACTGACCTAGAATCTATATTATTAGCTTAAGGAAAAATCATCTAACCCAAGAGTTAGCAAAATTAAAACATTTTGAACTAGCTGAAACAGAAAATACTCATTATGCTGCAGTAAAAGATCAGATAAGGAATTCACTGTATGCCAAAATAATCACTATCAGATAGAGCTAATAAATTTTATATCATTATAAATCTATTTGGCTTTAATCATCATGACAGACAGGATATAAACAAGCCCAATAAAAAGAGATACACACACATATATGCACAAGTAATTATCTAAGAATTGACTAGAATCAGAACAGAAGAGTTAGAATATTGAGCTACGCTAAATACAACCATACATCAATTGAGAGGTTAACTCAATAATTGTCACCTAAACACTATTCCAAATAACTATATTTATAAGCCTTTCTAGTTGTATCAGATAGAGCTAATATACTTTCACTTACAAGTCAGTCTTGCATCTATCATCAAATAAATTAGTTATAAAAGAAAGAGTTTGAATCAACTGTAATTTTACTTTGATCTTGATTTGAAATAATACAAACTTTAAATGGTGGTTAAAAACATATTACGCTACATATTTACGAAGAAAACTTATCTTACCTTTGCTGCTCTTGTAAGCCTATCACCAGATTCACCAACACAAATATTTAAGCATAGTTTACGGATTCTCACTTCTCGCATAGGATTCTTTTCTTTATCTTTGTTTCCGGCCTTCAGGCTTTTCTAAACAATTATGAAAGCGTTAATCTAACATTTAGATTTAAATAAAAATTATACATACAATGGTAATCGCATGCTAATAAAATAAACAGTAATAAACAAGATTCTTGCGACCTACAACAAATATTTACAAACTAAGACGTTACCCTAATATAAAATGATTTTTAATTGTATTATTTATACTTCATAATCTAAGAAATACACATCGGTATGAATTATGTTTTTAATTTTTCAGTATATATGAAATACATCATACTTGCTCTAAATTGTTACGAAATAATTTACTCGTCAGAAAATTGATATTACAAGATTAACATTTAATAAATAAATATATAGCTAGATAAAAATAGTTAGAGGATTATAATAGATTGAACTTACAGGCCTCGGAATTTTTAATTTTCTGGTACCAGCCTTCACCATTTTTAGTTCGCGTGTTATGAAATATCACGTCGAATCTCGTCCATTCAGTTTTCGGTCAACAGTGATCGATGTAGCCGTAGCCATCCGTAGTAACCAAAAAGTTGAAAAAAGAAAAGACCAAGGTGGCCAAGAAACTTTATTTTCAAGGAGCATGGAATCTTTTGAACTTACTCAATTGAATCCATTCCGCAATGGATTGAATTTTTTTAAGTTTTAACAAGTCTTAATAAATGATAATTAACAAATAATCACAATAAATGTTAATTAACAAATTTATTTAAAAGTATTATTAAACAGATTGAATATCGCAATGAAATAAGTAGCTAAAGGCGCTTGCAAAAAATTCTGAACAAACAAAATTTTATAAATAACCAAAAATAATAGGTTGATTTATGTAATTAATTTTAAGTGCGAAAAATGACGTTTAATGACAGGCAGAGTGTTATAAAAGATCTTGAAAATTTTATAGCTGACAAAGTCAAGATTCTAAGCAATGTGATTACACCTTTAAATTGGGACGAAGAATCTTTAACAGCCGAAGTTGTTGATTATATTTTCATTTTACTTTCTTTTATTATTATTAATCTATAAATTGTGCATAATAATAATAAATTATATATAATAAATATATAAATTGTGCATAAAAAACCTCGATTTCTTAAAGTTAATTGATGTTTTAACTTAAGGTAATCCAGGTTTCATCCAGCTCTAATTTGCAATTGAATATAAAACTGAAATTAAACTTAGTGGCACGACAAGACATGTAAGCGAAATTGCTACTGTGCCCATCTCAGTTTTCTTGACTTTGGGCTCTGGGATGCAAAAACAGATGTTTAAATTGGGTGGTCAGCCGAGCGCGGAACTCCAGATGTTTAGTTCCCAATCATGCTTGGTTCTGAGTCAACCAGGACCTGTTACAAGAGAGTGCGAAGCGCTACCACTCAGACTCACAACTGAATCTACTATAGAATTTCTAGGACTATAAATGCACACTTAACCATATCCCGGGAATGTTTCAGTGTCTATAATCGCCAAAGTGTCAAAAAAAAAATTTTTTTTTTACTGGCTAGAATTTGAAAAAACAAAAATTACAAGAATTCCCTGAGGATGGCTACGGTTTATATTCTTCTGAGATTTATTCTTTTAGTTTTTCGCAAGCTGTTGCTAATTTGTCGCCAAAATTTGTGAATTTTTATTGGCGTAGGTGCGGAAAAGCAAATCTCTCCGAAAAAGAGCAAGTTTAATTGAATAGTTATGATGTGTCTAGTTAAAGTTTTGTTATATTTGTAAATCATATATTTTTAAGCTGTTGGACTAAAATAATAGCAAAAAAATTGAATGAAAAGTAAATTTAAATAAAATTTTTAAAAGAATGCTCTAAGAAAAGAGAAATGCTCTAAGTACAGAGTATTTACATCTTTTAATAAGTTTTGAGCAACATAAAATACAGTCAAACCCCGCTATAATGAACCTTCAAGGGGCCGAAATTTTGGTGCACTATAATCGGGAGTTAACTATATCCGTTAAGCAGGCAATTTAACTAATGGTTCCCAAACTCCTCCCTTTTATTACACATTATTCAAATAAATGGCTGAAAAATGTTATGTAGTAGCAAAAGATTTGTTATTTTTCATTACTCTTCGTCTTGTGTACAAAAAAAAAAAATAATTTTTAACTGATGAGCAATGCTCAACATCAGAAATGGAAACACCCCGACTCTCAGATAATTTTTGCTACATTCTCCAATATAGATGGTTTTAAAAATCTGTATATGTCTTTATTTTGAACTAGAGATTTCAAAATTATTACAAAAAAATTAAGGAAAAAATCAGTCGAAGAGAGAAAAAAGTTCATTCTATCCAACTTTCTGCCTTTTTTGGTTCACTATATCCACAAAAAATAACATTATACGTGTATAGCAAGGCACGGGACCGAACATTTCGTTCACTATAAGCCGTGTTCACTATGGCTTTGACTGTAGTTCTAAACATGTTTGTGTGCACTTTTTTCACTGTGAAGAATTGAGAAAAAGTAAGAGGTAAAATTCGAAATTTTAATTGTGCTGTAAAGAAAAGTCTCTGAGATATGAACAATTTGTAGTAATAAATCTAATTCTAAAAAGAAAATTTACAAATTAAAAAACAATCAAAAAAACATTGAATATTAATGCTTTAATGACATTATAAAATGTATGTTTTAAATTCAAAATGGAGATTGCCATGTTCAATTACTAGAGCTTCCTTACCAGTGCAGTTATGAAAACTAAGATAGAAATTTATCTTACCTTGCCTAGGTTCTGGGAGGCTCCCTATACACAGAAATTTGCTTTTAGATTATACCCTGTTGCAAGTTAAAAAAAAAAAACCATTATCCCTATTGAGAGAACCTGTTTGCATCTAAGTGCAATCAAATGGATGCTGAGCTCCCAGCTCGAATGTATATCAGTGTTGCTAACTCTTAAAATGATGCCACAGAGCCTTCTTTTTGCTTGATTCCTTGATTCGTGTGAAATGAGGGAAACAAAACTTATTCAATAATCTATTAAAAAGTAATAAAAATTATCAAAAATGATATCTAAAAGAAGTCATAAGAAATACACATCTTTTTGTTTGCATTCAAAGAAACTAATGAAAGAATAATAAAAATTATTTCTTACAGACGATTTTCTTCAACTGCGAAAGAAAATGAAAAATTCTTTATCTCACATTTGATTTGTTAAGAGCATCTCAAAATAAGACACACTATTTTCAGTGGTCCAATCAGATCTAATGCTCTTGCCCCTTCATATAATTCTTTCTTTTTCAAGAACAAATGTTCTCCTTATTTATTGAAACATGTCATCAAGTCTTGATTCCAATAAGACTACGAAACTATAAACTTTTTTTAATAATTCTATGATATATTTCGTAAAAGGTAGGATGAATTGAATTTCTGTCTGACGTGCTTAAATTTTAAAAACTTCTATATTCTTTTGAAAGCATATTTGTATANTCAAGAACAAATGTTCTCCTTATTTATTGAAATATGTCATCAAGTCTTGATTCCAATAAGACTACGAAACTATAAACTTTTTTTAATAATTCTATGATATATTTCGTAAAAAACAGGACGAATTGAATTTTTGTCTGACGTGTTTAACTTTTAGAAATTTTTATATTGTTTTGAAGCATATTTGTATAATTTGATAGCGAAATAAAACTAAACTATAAGTAGTCACGGATGATTACTTAAATCCTATACCACAATTTTATTAACTTGTAATGGAGTATAATTTTACTATATTGTCAGACAGGAGTAAAATATAAGCAGAGAAGAATCATTTTTCCAAATTTACACTGTTGCAAAACTGCCAGAAGATTATATAATCTTTATCTGCCCTGTCTCAAAGTTATATTATAGATATCTTTTTAGTAAGAGAAGCCAAAATAAAAAGCTATTATATTGTTAAATTGATATAAAAATTTCAAAAGAATAAACATTTATTTCCCTTAAAACTTATATACTATTAGTACTTTGAAAGCTTTCTAAAAATAGATTCATTTTCGAAGTGTTATTTTTACAGTGTTATTTTTAAAGTGATTGTCTGCTGATGTATCAAAGTCTAGGGATTTATAAAACTTATAATAATCAAGTGATTCACAAATGTGACTAATAAATATATTTCAGAATAAATGAGTATTCATTCTGAAATATATTTATTAGTTCTAATTCAAATAGAGTTAAATTACTTATTGAAAGAAACTAGTAGTTAAAGAAAATATTAAGTATTTGAAATAATGATAGCATTTAAATTGTAAGTTTTTATCCTCCTTTAAAAGAAAAAGATTTTTTTTTTTATGTGTATGGAAGAATGTTCATCTAGTTTTTTTGTCCACTTGAATGACAGATTCCTTTTGACTTTTTTTTTTCTCCAACTAATTTGTTATGCTCTTAATTGTATGTGACTATTAAACTATGTGTATGATAAGAACATCAAGGATTGCGGATTTGTGCCACGAATTCAGTATTGCTTGATGTTTTTGTGTCGTGAGTTGCTGTATATCTTCAAATATCCTAATTTGGTGGAGCCAATTAAATTACTATTTATATATGAAATTATATGTATATTATTTAGGATTATATTTCCTCATGCAGATTTCTTCTTATAAGAAGCATTACTTATTTTTTAAATTTTAGGAGAAAGTACAATGTCCTCATAATCCAAATCATTGGATACCAAAATCTTCACTATTCAAACACAGAGAGAAGTGTTCTTGGCTAAAGGAAGGATATGTTGAAGATGAATTTGTAAGCATGCATTAATTTTCAAACAAATAAATTTTTTAAAATGATGTTTTTTCTTTCAAATATTTTTTTTACTGGAAGAATAAATAAGATTAAAAAAAAATCTTTTTAAAATTTTTATTTGTTATAGTATTAAATGGTTACATACTAAATTTAAAAAAATTCTTCATATGAAGGCATTCTTTTCTCTTTCTAGAAAATATTTGAAAAGTATCTGATAACATTATTCTGTTTATGAAAGGTAAAAAATGTTAGAGCAAACCGGAATGTTTGTAAAATGGAAGTAAAGTTAAGATTACCTATGCTTCAAACCCACGCTCAAGTGAGAAGGAAGATAGGCGCAACTGTCTAATGTCTAGTACCACTGAGGTCCAAGCAAAATTTCTCAATAAGACTTTACTGTTTTTTGGTTAATTTTTTTTAAAAAAAATGCAAAGAATTCCTTTATTTATAAAATAAATAATATAAATGAGTGCAATGCATTTTATTTTCAACAGAAATAGGTACGGAGGAGAGAAAAAAAAAAGCAAATTATATTTAAGCATGTTTATGAAAGCATGCACTTATTTGTTTTAGTATTAAATGTTTAGTAGCATGTTTATTAAGCATGTTATGTTTCTTTAGAATATTTGAATATTCTAAAGAAAAATTTCGAATATGAGGGTTTTTCTAAAATTGAAATTGATTTGTTATGCACTTGTAACCAATGTTTTGTAATTTTTTCTTACTAACTGGTTTTGGCATTTTTCTTATTTGTGACGCTTTCGTTACATGCTGAAAACAGACTCAAATATTGCAACCTGTTAAATTCAAAGTCTACTTGTGTTACAGTTATTTTTTATCAACAAAAAACATACATTTTATAATAATAGTAATAATAAAAAAATGGCAGATCTATATCAAATGCTATCTTTCAAGTAAAAATTTTGTAACCAGTATGCAACACATTTCTTAAAAATAGACTCAAAACTATTAATTAAGGACATTAAAGAAGCAAAAAATAATGTATAAAGCTAAACACATATTTAAGTTACTCATAAATTAAATGCGTTTCCAATATCTTTCCTTCAAAGTACCTTAAAAATATATCAATCTTTAATCATTGTTTAAGCAGATACACAAAAATAAAAATAGATTCCACAATTATGTTAAATCTTTTCATTTAATACATGCTATTAATTATTATTATGCTATTAATCATAAACATATAATTTTTCTTTAAAGTTGCTAATTTTCATGATTATTCAGGGCTTGAAACTAATGGCGGTCTTATTTCGGGATCTGTAAACAACTTGACTTAGACCACCATAAAACAATTATCATTTGTCTCCTGGATCAGCAATATAGCCTCCACCATATTAATTTTTTTACCAGTAGTGTTTTATACTGTTTACAGAATATCTGCTCACCTGGAAAGTCATGAGAAATCATGGAAAGTCATGAATTTCAGAATTGAACAAAATTTGTCATAAAATGTCATGATTTTAACTATTTTTTTAAACAAATCATGGAAAGTCATGGATTTAGGTCACCAAAAAATCTAATTTTTAAAGTAGAATTTATCCCCCCATTTCATGGTTTTCCAAATATCTGAATTTGTAACAAAATCCCTACTTGCAGTCATATTTTATTAAAGTATGAAATGTTTTTATCAAGTTCTTTTAAAATTATGGAGTTCTTTCAAAAAATGAAAGAAAAAACATCATTTCTAGAGCAAATTATCTTTTAAACTTCTGTGATTTCAGAATTTTCGTTGTTATTTGTTTATTTTTTATTCCGAAATAAGAACAGAAAAATCAGGGGTATTTCTTTCCTTTCCGATGAACAATAAAAGTATCTTCAGAATATAATTCTGCAGAAAAAAGAAAATTATTTGCTTTTGTATTTGCTTTTCAGCTATTTTATTGCTTTAACTCTTTCTTTACTTTGTTTTTTAAATTTAAAATCTATAAATATGGAGATGCAAAGTATAACAGTTTTGGTTATACTTATCATTTCAATTAATGCTATTATAATGCTTTTTTAAATTTATTGTCGTGCTTTTGTCGGAGAAAATAGTAACTTCATTAAGTCATGAAAAATTCTTGGAATCAGTCATGGAAAGTCATGAATTTGAAAATCTAAAATGTAGCAGACATCCTGTGTTTATTATGAATAGTTTTTTATCAGTAAAGTGAAGGAAAGATTAATGATGCAAGTTTAATTGTTTAAAATTGATTATTTTTCAACTGTATTAAAATATAGTGTTAAAATTGTGTTATATAAATTATTTTGAAAATAGTTTATATTATGCAATTTATAAAACTTGTAGTTCACCATTTGAAGTGGATTGCATTTCATAAACTATTTAAAAAATTCTATTAATCACAAAAATATGATTTATATTTTCTCATTTGTAATTAACAAAGATTTTTTTTTTTGCTTCAAAAATTTAGCATTATTTTACTCAAATCCTTAGTAGTTACTTTTTATTTTTTTCGCATTTTAGTTATATTAAACTGTTGTGTTCCTTTTATTGTTTCTTATGTTATCTACTTAGTACAGTTTTCAGTTTTTTCTTCCCATGAGATTTAGTTTAATATTTCATTCAAATGTTACTTTTCTCTATCTTCAATAATAGTTTCTTTTTTACAGGACAAGCAGCTTCCTGATTCAGATTTCTTTTATCAAAATGCACCATCAGTTGTGTCTGTATCTGTTGGTATGATTTTGTAAACATTATTTAAATTTCCTTATTTGCGGATATGAGGAAAATAATACAGCCTTGATAAATAAAGTCAAATTTTTTTCTGAAAAGTTATTAGACTTTTTTAAATGTCATGTGTTTAAAACTGCATTTGAAAATAGAAAAAATGCTTTTAAAAAACATTAAAAAAATTCCCCTACAATTAAGCAAAAATTTCAGTCTGAAACATTTTCCTCATAACCTTACATAGAGCATTTAATAGTGTTTAAGTACCTATATTGAAAAAAATCGACATGCAATTTTTATTAAAGTTATAAATGAATGTTAAATACAAGACTAATAAAAGAATTAAGAGGAAAAGAGAAATGTATTGATGCCTCCTCTGATTTTTTTATGTATGAAAACAAAGTAAAAAGTCTCAAAAAATTGTTTAAAATTGCTAAAACCTAAGTAATTATCAAAAAAAAAAAAAAAAAAAGGGTTNAAAAAAAAAAAAAAAAAAAGGAAAGAAAGAAAGAAAAGTGATTAATCTTCAGTTTTGTTGCAATTTGGTAATAATTTTGAAATACCAAAAAGTAAAATGTATTGCCTGATATTCAATATTAGTCAGAATGTTAAAAATTAAGAAGTCATCATGTTCAAGTTCTCCATGCACATAAATCTTATTTTCACTTCAAATCTGAAGTAAATGAAATTTATTTAAAATTTTATTTTCAAGGTCAAATATTTGTTTCATTAAATGTTAAGACTTTATTAAATTTAAATGCTGCATAGACTAATTTTAGTTTCAAATGCTTGTGCTTGGTAAATTTATTTCTTATTTTGATTTTCTTATTGGTTTCCACAGATTGTTATTTAGTTTAGTATATTAGTATGTTTTATTTAAAAATTATAATTCTATTTTGCGAATTGATTTTTTAAAAGTAATTATATTTTATTCTGAGAATTTCGATTTATTTTTGACAAATTAAGATAAAGGCTAGTGTAATAAGATTTTTTTTTTTTTAAATTCGCTAAATGGTAACTGTTATATTTAAAAAATTTTTTATCTGTAAAGAGAATAAAGTGAGATTTCCAGTTACATTTGACTTGGTTCTTACAATTACAGTTACTATTTGGGACTAAGCTCTTCATAAGAGGCTCTTCTTTGAACACCCACTTCTCCCAAATCACTGCTTGGTTTGGGGAGGAGTAGGATTCTTTTCTTTTTATTTATTGTTAGTCTGCTTCTACTTTTTAGCATTATTTATTAACAGTACTATACCATTTATTAAGATATTGCTTTGAGAATATCATCCATGTTAATTGTATCTGCCTGCATGGTTTGCAATAGAATTAAATTATAAAATGATGGATGCAGTGCACCCAACCAACAACCCGTTCAGGTGTTATAGATCCTGACTGTCAATTTGCTTTTTATGTTTATGTTGTGGGGAGAGTAGTTACAGACCATGTCAACCTTCATCTATGAAAAGGTACCCCAACATAGAGTCGAGTTAACATGTCTTATATACTAGTGAATTGTAGTTGTAATTTTATAGTGGTAGATACGCTACAATGTGTTGAATAGTTCAAATGATACCCTGCTGAGTATCTTGTTCTCTCTGTAAGTTATTTTTCTGGTACAGCATATCGTACAGAACAGCTGCCCGCTAGTTACGTATTCAGAGAGCTAAATTTCTTCTCCTTTCTATGATCTTTACCTTAACCTCAATGGAAAATTTTCCCCGACCCGACCTTATTTAGGCCATACAGGTAAATGTTTATTAAAATAAAAAAAAATCTAAATAATTGTACAAACATAAAATACAAAATACATATCAGACATGGCAAACAGCCCATGAGCATTGTCGTCACAGATCAGCAAAAATCATGTAAAGTGATAAAACATTGAAACAGCAAAATATTAAAAGTGTCAGTTAAAGGAACAATTTAAAAGATAAACATGTAAAATTTACAAAAGAACAACATAGTATAACATGTTAAAACAGTACTTTTAAAACCAATTAAGTAGTACAAAAGTAATTACAATAAAATTGGAGCAAGTAAAAATAGAAGAGTTTTTAGAAAACGTAATAAAAGTTACAAAACTATAAGAAAAATTGAGACATCCAAGCTGGATCGAGCAGGTTCCGAGACCATTAAAGACCATCCCCCAATACATCCTGTAAAGTTTGTTTAATAATCTTTTTTATGATATTTCTGCAAGTCATGTTAGCATGGCATTGATGTTGACTAATATTATTAAAGTGATTGCCCCGGAGTGTCTGGAATTGAGAACAAGTCATTAACAAGTGATCGACAGATTGGTATTCACCCCAGTAATTACATTCTAGAGTTTTGTGGAATAAATTATATTGGTGTTCTCCAAACACTCCGTGGCCTGTTAAAAATTGATTGAGATAGAAATTTGCTTGTAGTCTATTTAATTTCGGGTCTTTAAAAAATTGGAATGTCTGTCTCCCTTTATCGGAACTCTGCCATTCTAACCCCCAACCTACCTTAACCTCCATGACTTCCCACTGGCTGAAAACTGGCTGTGGTGGAAATTCATTCTCTTTCCAAGCAAATTTATCTCAATTTGTAAATAAATAGATAAAGAGTTAGCTCCAGGCAGTTAGCTACAGAAAATATTAAACTAATTTCCTTTCCAGACTTAAAGCAGTTTGCAGAACCAAGTCTTAGTTATTATTACAGTTGAGAAATTTTATGTTGTATAAAGGAAATAATTTACTAGAAAATTAGAAAGTAAATATATATATATACAGGGTGTTTTTATAACGACTGTCCATACTTATGTACTTTTGATATCCTTTCTGTAAAAAAAGTTACATGTAAAAAGTTATAAAAGTTTCTGCATATTAGGGGCCACAAATTAATATTTAACTATGGAAAAAGAAAAAAGCTATAGAAATCTAAGAAATTCCCTTTCCCAATCGCAAATTGACATATTTTGGCAGCATTTTTTCTTTCTTAAATAATAATTTGTAACCCCTTGTGTGCGTACTTTTTTTACTTCATTTTCTTAAAAAATTGACAAGGATTTGAAATTATATGTATTAGGCGGTGATTACAGAACATCTATATATATAATAACATTAGCTTTACTTTTTTTTTGCAGATAAAAATAAACAACTTAGTGTCTTGATGAGTAAAGGACTGATAACATATGATAAACGTATGTATACTTTTGTTTTCATCCAATAAAAAATTAGCAAGGTGTAAATTGGTTGCATGTTTTTGTACCTTGGTTAATAGTAGTAATATTTTTGTATAAATTTGATAAATAATAATTGCTTGATTAGTAATGAAATAACTCTCTTGAATAAGGTGAAATACAATAAGGCAGGGATGGCGAGCCAATGACACGCGTGCCATTTATGGCACACGGCACAATATTTTGAGCACTCCACCGATCACAATTGTTGTTACACTATTAATTGTTATTACACAAATGTTATTACGCTGTGAAGCATATGTAACAATTAAATACAAATTCACAAAAAACAAACAAAATAATAAACAATTATTAATAAAAAAATTAAAAATTAATAACTGTAAAAAACATGCTAACAGTAAATAACTAGCAAAAAAAAAATCAACAGTCCTGCTTAAACTAATATTTTACAACCTAATATAAGTTATTGGTCATATTAGGACAACAACTTATATTAGGACAACAGAATCTGCTACAACAGAAGTTACACTGATGTTACTTTAAGTTGAATTACGTGTATAACTGCGACATTGCAAAATGTATTTTTTTTTTCAATGTAAATAAAGAGTTTTGAGTTGATAGTATTTAGTATTATTATTTTCAAAATTGCCGTCAAAATTATTTGATGGCACGTCTATGACCTCATTAAACAATTTTTTAGAGAAAATGACACGTTGGTGAATAAAGGTTCGCCACCCCCGCAATAAGGTGAGACAAGGTGAAATACATTCTTTAAATGTTAATTCATTGAACTACATGTTCATGCATTAAAAAACAAAGAATAAATATTAATTTTTTATTTGGATGTTGTCTATTCTCTTTTCAAAATTTATTTTATATTTATTTATATTGTATTATTAGTCATATTTTTTATTATACAAATAAGATTCAGGATGAAAAAAGTTATATTCCTATTAATTCACTGTTATAAAGGTTATTTTATTGATTTAAATTTTTTATTCTCCATTTCCCTAACATTAGCCAGTAAAAGCTTGAATTGTTGAATGTATTTTTTAAGCAATTATTTGGTTATTTATTGTTAAGTACAGCAACAACAATTTTGCAATTTAAGTTTCCTCTTTATATCCTCTCACAAAATTATTTTTTACGTTTGCTTTAAAATTTTGTTGTACAGGTTGTATAAGAACTAATTTAACAATTTTGACCTTCAACAATATCTAAAACAAATTATATAGCTATATTAAATGTCTTTGTAATAGCCATGCTTGAAGTTTTATTTCTGCCTCAAATAACACATGCAATAATATAAAGCTATACATAAAAAACATAAAACAACAAATGAAAATAAATAGGTTATTTAAAAAAATGAAGAAAGAATTACAAAAACTTCATACATCTAAAAATGCATGTGCTGTTTGAGAAAGTAATTTTGTTTAGCTTTTTTATTTTATGCATGTCAAAGTTGTAAAATTTACTTGCTTACACCTTATATTTAAAACAAGTAATCATTTTTGCAATATTGGGTTTTCAGTCTAAAATTTGAAAGTGAATTCTATTCTCTTCTTGTTTCAGTGTCCAGGTATGTTTCACTGATGACTAAATCGTGGAAATATGATTTTGTATCCTCTATATAAATTAATATATCCTTTTTCATTTTGAATGTTATAAAGCTTTTTATTTTTATGTGCCCGAAATTTATTTGACTAATTAACATGAACTGTATTTTCTTATTAAAGAGTAAATTGTTAAGAAATAGTACATCATGTTTATTTTAATATAAAACTTGGTTTAATGTTATTTCAGCAGAATTAAAATTTCATAAATTATTATTTAAATTTTATATTAAAAAATTTAACTATATTAAAAAAATAGAAGATTAAAAATTATTTACAATTTTATCAGATATTGTGTCTTAAAATTTGCCTTTTCCCGATAGATTTAGCAATAAGAATAGAACACAAAAAGGTACGCAATCCTCTTAAATTTCTAAATTTATTAAAAAATTTAGGAGCTCTTTGTGGCTGATTCAGGAAGCTTTCTAAAAACCCACACTTTTAAAACAAAATCATTAATCCTTTTTATTTAAAATTTTAAAAACACTGGAAATCAATAAAAATGTTTTATTTCCCTATTGTCTCGCTAAAGGAACTTGAAAATGGCACTTCTCAAGTTGATTTTGTAGACTGCAGCGTAATTTAAGGATATTTATATTTTATTCAAATCAAAATGGTAAATAATTGAATGAAGTTTTTTGGTAAGTGTCAAATGGTTATGCTATTTTTAAATATCAAAGGCAGACACTCCTCTGTGTGTCTGCCCTGTTTTTATGCCAATGCAAGTTTTATGATTTTGGGCACCTGTAATCTTTAATCCATATACTGTTATTCTTTGGGTGTCAGACTTTTTTTTATTTCACTTATTTAAAAAAAAAAAAAAAAGCAGTTTCCCTATTTTGTTATCATTGATCATTTTTGTTTGGCACAGTATTTCTTATTCAAGGTCTTCTGCCATTCAGTTTAATATTTAATCCACTTCTTCAATTCATATCATAAATGTTTTAATTTTCATATACATTTAAATGTCATTATGGCATAAGGAGACAATATTAATTAAACCAGTGTTTCTTATTGTTTTGCTGAATTGTCATAGTAACCAGACTAAGTAGTTTTTCTTCGAAGCTAAGTTTGATAAAATGTCATTGAAGGCACACAATTTGCTCTTAATAACAGGTGAATATAAAATGTCCACGCAAAGAAGTATTTAAATTTAAAATTCATCTTTAACTGTGCACAACATTTGCTCTAAATAGAAGGTGAATATAAAGTATACACACAAAGAAATATGCAATTTAAAATTTATATATAGTTTAGAAATCACAGACTAAAAAAACAATTTGAATGATTAGGAATGTGAATCATGATAAAGAAATATTTACCACTCCTGATTTTTTATTTTATTTTAACAAAATGGAGAAATACATAATAATCTGCAACATCTGTTACTATGTTTCATGATTTCTACATTTGGCTGCTATTATATAATGTTTTCAACAGTTTTAGAGTTTTTAAATGTTTTAATTCATAACTTTTTGAATTTTTTTCATAACTTGAATATTTTCCAGAATTCTGAACATCCAAGATTTGAAATAATGTTACTAAGAACTATAATAGTCTTTTATTATCATGCTGTTATTAATTTTCATTGCAAATTAAAATGCTAATTTATGAGATCATGATTCTGATTATATATTCATGTTGGAACATAGCTGTATTTTTTGCCCTGTATTTATTTATGCTTGTTATTCTATAAAGAAATTGAATACCAAATATTAGATTTAGCTATAAATTAAGCGAACAATTTATATTTGATTATTAGTAATCCAATTCCTAATTGTTTTGTATTTATAATTTATTTACAAAATTTCTAACTATCCATATTTTATTTCTAACTATCCATATTTTGAAAATTTAATTGATAAAATTTACTTTTATGCCTCATTTATGTCTAAGTTTTTTAAAATGCTGTATCCGTAATTGTGGCATAAACTTTTAAAACTCAGTTTAAGTATCATGGGCTAAAAAAAGAATAGCTTAAATCTTGTTTTGTATTAAGTTTATGTAATTTAGTGAAAGTGGTCAAAAAACGTAAAGCTTTATTAATAAGCTCTTCTTGGGTTTGTCATTGAATATGCCATATAAAGTGTAAATAAAGATGTTCCGTTTGTTTAAAGTTTATAATAAATTAGATATTTAATGATAAAAATATCTTGTAAAGTTTTTAAATTATCTTATTATTTAATATGTTTGAAAAAAATTGGATTGCATGTTTTTCTTTTAATAACAAATAAATTATAATATAACTGAAAATTCAAGTTGTTTTTCTCATGCGCACACTTTTTTTTTTGTAGAAAACTTTGAGAATCTCAGCAGTCCTAAGACAATTGACCGATGGACTACAGAATCAAATCCTGAGCAAAGATTAGCTATATATGATCACATTGTTGAAGAAGGCAAATTAGTGAAACAGCCTACAAATGTTCCATTAGAAGATTTAATGTTTGACTTTGAAACAAAAAATGACCAGGGTATGTAATGATACATAGTTATTTTCAGTATATAATTTTTTAAAACAGTTTTTTTATTCTTTTTGTCATAAAATTTGGCATTTAATTAGCAGTTCTAGTGTTTCAAAATACCTCTAAATCTAATACCAATTTATTTTATTTTATGACAGAAAACTCATACTCTTTTGAAAAGTGAAATTGTTTATTTTAGGGGACAAGGTAAAGACACATCTAGAAATTCTTGCTGAACAGAGGGATTACAAGCGTAGGCGCCAATCTTATCGAGCTAAGAATGTTCATATAACTAAGAAATCCTACACTGAAGTATGAATTCTTTAGTTTTAAAGCATTTAATATTTGTTTATTTTAACTTTTATCTTCTAGCATCACAGCTGCATTAATTTGATGTAACACGCACATGAGGAACCCCTCTGTTGTTTAGTTGGCTTTTGTACAATGCTGCTGGTTAAATATGAAAGCTAGGGGTTACGAGTTTGTTCCGGGAGTCTGACTAAAGAGATGATTCATTTAAGCATTGCAGTGCATATTTAACCAAAGACAAACTATTCATTTGTCAAAGAAACTCTTGATTTTTGTCAAATTTTCATAGATAGTGTGCTTTTTAATACTTTAACATTTTCAAAGACAATGAATAAATGTTGAATTTCATCCTTTACATATATTTTGGTAAAAATATAAGAGTATTAAACTTAATCTGTTAGCATGCCATTATTTATTTTCTAGCTTTTAAATTTTGTTTAAATTTTATATTATTATTAATCCTATTCTTAATGAGTTTAGCTTTTAACTTTTTTTTTCATGTCGGCATTAAAGAGTGGAAATTGAATTCTAAAAACTTCTGTATTCTTTCTTTAATTAGTACACTTTAGCAAAAAATTTAAATTTTGTTAAACGTTCACAGTTAGATTGTAATGCTCTGTTTCACTAAATTATTTCAAACTTGACAATATTTTTTGTTCTTTAGATAAATTTGATTTTCGATAAATCATTTCGATAAATCATTGTGACAATCAATTTTTGATAAATTACTGAATAATGGATCTCTCTTTACTGAGTGGCTACTGCTACCTGTTACTTTGTAATTAACTTTTGATCTAATAGTTAATAGGCTTTTTGCTATTGTGACCCATTTATTGTAACGATCATATTTTCAAAATTATATATTTAAAAATATTTTTCTTACCATTTATTTATGCTTCAAAGAAGAGTTTTTAGTCTAGGATATTTTTATTTTTATACAAGAGAACCCTCTGGAATTTTTATTTTTGAAAAAACTTACCTTAAAGATAATTTATTATATAATTAAGATAACTTAATCAATAATGTTAGCGTTACAGCACTTTTTTAGCTATGCTTATTTGTATGTTGGCTATGCTAGTTTGTTATTACAAAATAACTTTTTCTCAATTTAAAAATTTTAAGTTAATTTTTTAACGTTTTCATATTTCTTTTTTGAAAGCACTTTGCTTAAGAAAATCATTATTTTTATGCTAACAAAGGTTTTCCATGAGGTCCAAAAAATTGTAATGTCAAAAGCACTTTAGTTTTATGTAAATTAAAAAGGTAAGAAATTATTTTTTTTTGCTAACTATATTGTTTATTGTGTGCTATATTGAAAGGAAAAGGCTTTATTTGGATATTATTTACAAATTTTGATGTTTAAAATTAAATTGACTTTAGGGCATTTAAACAAATTCACATTTTTTAAATAAAACTACATAGCCATATATGATGACGACATTATCATATTTGTAAAAAGGATTCTTTTTAATATAGCATAGCCCAGATTTCTAGTAGCTATGATTTTAAAAACAATCTGAAATTATGTGACTTAAGAAAAGAAAATAACACGTTTTATTTATAAATTTAATATTATTAAAATTGTTTTAAAAATATGATTATATTTTCTAGTTTTTGGAGACTTTTGTTTGAGTTATTTATGTGAAATTATATTTTAATGATTATTTTAAAGATGTTTGTTCACATGTAAAATATATGTACTGAAATTTTTTTATGACTTAGGAATTGAAGGAAGTGATAGAAAAAATTACTGACACTAAAACACAAGAAAGTGCTGAAAAGTAAGTGGTTTAGCTTATAGACAGAAAAACCTTGTATTTAATTTCATCATATTTAATTGAAAAATTCTATCTTAAGTTTTTTAAATGTTTGCTTAGTATCTTTTTTATAGTTTTACACTTTAAGGTATCTTTGTTTTATAATTTACGTTTTGATTTAATGCCTTGCTCTAATTCAAACTTAAGCTACATGTATAAATTTTTTTTATAGTCAATAAGGTTTGTTATATATTAAAATTTAGTAGGTTGAAACATCAAGTAATTGGGTCACTTCAAGGATTTCAGTTCAGTTTTGGCAGAGTTGTTAAATGATATGCAATAAAAAGATTAAGTCTCTTTTAAAGTTGTTATATAATGATATTTTGCTAAAGTTAAACAAGATCAAAATAAATCAGGGTTCTAAAAATCTTAAACTTTTTATGTGTAGTGGTCAGGTTTGTGCAAAGTACATTTTTATATTCTCTGACATCTTTTTAGATTGCATATTAATGTACCCATTATTAATCAGTTATAAAATGGTGACAACAACATATTGTCTACATTCACACATTTATTTTAAATATTAATCAGAGTTTAATATTGTTAAATTAGAAGTATTATTAACAAGGAAGTGTTAAGCAATAGTAAAAATTGATGGAGTAACCGCAGAGCATTCTTATTAACAGAACACAGTAATAGGGAATAACCTTTTTTCATATAAATAAGCTTTATTATAGTTGTAGGTGTTGTATCAATGCATGATAAAAAAAAATTCTATGTCTCACAGAAATTTGCAAAGATCTACCATACATATAAGTTTATAAATTTCGATTTATAATATTTTGGTCATGTTAGTCATTTATTGTTCAACTTCTTTTTGAAGGTATAGGGCCAACTTGGATTGTATTTTGATTTGTAAAAAATAATCGTAGCATCTTTAATACGCAAAACTTTAAGAGCAATAGTTGCACATTATTTTAAAAGTTCTTGAAAAGTGTAACAATTTTTTTTTATTATCAGCCATATGACTTTACTAGCTGATTATCCAATAGCACTATTTCTTTTTACCACATTCTTGTGAGATGATTAGCGAAGACCTTTTTCTTAAAAATGTTTGTAAAGAAATGTCAAAATGGTAATTTTAACTTTGATATTATTAGTCTAAAAAGTTAATATTAAAATTAGATTTGTGAGCTATAAGCACGTTTATGGAAAGTTATCTTTATTCAACTTATATTAATCATCATGGAGTGAATGAAATTTCTGTCAGAATGGTGAGATAATGGCGAATTCAGAGATCCCTTATGCAACATAGGCTATAGTAGGAACTTCTAAATTTATACCATATCTAAAAAATAATAATATTGTCCCCATTTAACCACATCAAAACATATTTTTTACACTGATTTAGAGCTATTTTTATTTAAGTTATTTTTTATCCTCAGTGAGATGGAAAGACCTGAGCCTAAGTATTCTGAAAATGGGACCAAGGATCAAATTCCTCGACGGCATGGGTATGACAGAAGACATGGTCGTGATTCTCGATCAAGATCCAGAAGCAGGACTCCCAAAAAGCATAAGCATAAACACAAACGTAGTAGGAGCAGATCAAGAGAGCGTCATAAGCACAAAAAGTCACACAAGCATAAAAAATCTAAGGACTAAATTTGAAAATAATTGTATTTTATTCATGCCCATTTCTTACATTCTTTAGTTGATTAAAAACATTTATCATACTAAATTTGCATTCATTGTTTTTTATTCTGGATTAAAACATCTTTTTTCACTTTTGTCTAATTTTAACAGAATATTTCTGTCCCTTACCTTGTTATTTCAGTTTCTCTCTTTTAGATATTGAAATTTAAATTTTTTTTACCAAATATGCAAAACATTCTAATGTAATTGTAATGACCCTATTTCTATTTCAGTAATTTTTCGCCGCTAATATTCAGCCTCTTTTCAAACATTTTTCTTTTTTTCAAGATAGAAATTATTTGTTAAGAGTTTCCAGATTGTGTGGGTTGGAAGAAGTTAGCACTGAAAAACTTGTTTGCCAAATTTTACAATCGTTATACATTATTACATAATAAATTATGAAATACAAAAAAGTTTTTCACTAATTCATTAGAAAATTGTTGTCTCGTAAATATTTAATAATTTGGATGTTTAATTCCTCACTTAATAATATTTAAATACTTAATAACCATTTAAAATTTCTGATTTTCTCTCACTGGAAATAATAAATAAATAATTTAATAAACTTAAAAAAAATGTTCTGTTAATATAATGTTCTATTAACATTTGATAAAATTTTTACTAAAATAACATAATGGATTAATTTTTTTGTCTTTTCTACATCACATCAAAGAATTATAAAATATTAATTTGTAATAAAGACTTTTACTAATTTCATTAATTAATTCATAAGTGACATTTTCATAAATCAGCTTTGAAATTTTTATATCAGACATTGCTCAAATGTGCTTGTGAAATTATCGGCATGCATTTAATTCACAAGCTTGTGTAATTGTATGCACAGACTTATATGCCTGCATTTATGAAAAAAAGATTATACAGTGGAATCCCTATTTTACTTTTTCTTTTGGACGTATTAATTAAAAAATGCAGGAGGCAGGAAAACGTAAAATTGGAATAAATTTTTTTTCAAAAATTGTCATTTACAATTTGAACTATTAGAAAAAATGTAAAATTTTTACTTGTTCTTTATTTTTAGATATAATTTCAATAATATCCCTCTCAGTACTTGCTTTTCATTTGAAAATAAATATTGTTAAAATTTTTATGCTTTGAAACTCTAAGTTGTACTTAAATCCTCAGATATTTTTTATTGATCTTCACAGTTTTCATCGGGAGCAGGTATTAAATCAGATATCGAAGGAATTGGAAAGTAATGTTATGTGTTGAAGTCAATGTACATGTCAGACTTCTTCAACCACACAATTTTATTCCAAAGGGCTGTTCAAGTTGGATCCCAAAAAATTTGATTGTTAAACCCATGTGTAATATATTTTAGTCATCACTATTTAACGCTACATAAATCAATTTACAGCTTCTAGAGCATTTATCTTTTAGAAAAATCTTGTTGGTTAACGAAATAAAGAAAAAGAAATGATTACCACACCCGTTGTTCAGTGTAACGTTTTAAATGAATGGGTTTTTCCAAGATTCAGAAGTTTCAAGTTTGCTGGTAGAGTTTCCACTCGCAAATTTTATAAGTTTAGCTCTCATGCTTTCTTTAAGCATCCTTCTTGTGCTTAGTCCATCCCATCACTTCCTGGTTTTGATTCAAGGGAAAAATCCCTTCTAACAGACAAAAAGGTAGAATAGAATAAAAAAGGATTTCAGAATATCTTCAAGCAAAATTTTTTTTGAAAAAGAAAAGTTTGTGTGAGCTTTGTAGAGAAAAAAAAAATGATTTTAATCTGTTAGGTAAGACTGGATTATCTTTAAAAGGGTAATAGGAAATCTGGGAAAATTTAATGCTAACGGTACAAGTGATTTTCACACAGCAGAAGAAAATAAAACAGGAAGCGGGAGGGACACTGTACAAAATGGACAATGTAGAACCATTATAGTTCCACTGTGGATGAATTATGAAGGGAACAGGCATAGTTTGAGATGAGCATTTAACAAAAGGACTTGGCACTCGAATAATTTTTTTTTAAATTACTGTTCAGACTGTCTTTTCAAAAGAACTATTTGCTAACTGTAGTTTGTTGATGTGTAACCTTTTGGCGACGGCTGGTACAACAGTTGTACCCTGATATTCCAGTTTGTTAAATTTTTAATTCCGTAACAATTTCCGGTAAAAAGTACAATAACCCTGAGTGACGGTGCTTTTTACTGTAACTTTTCATATTGTACCAGCCAGGTCCAGAAGGTTAAATACTTCGTTTTAGTAATAATGGAATGGACAAAAGTAATTGTAAGTAGTCAATAAATACCTCTTTATACATTTTATAAAAATAACAAGACAAGCATTTTGGTTTGCTAGTTATAGTTTATTATTTTAAAAACACGTAAAAAGTCCTTTCTAAAAAAATGAAGTCATTCAGTAAAAAGCTACAATAACTTAAAATCTATGAAAAAAAAAAAACTTAAAATATCACAACACATAATTGCAAAAGAGATCTCCATAAATCTCAAACAGAAAAACATCCACATTTGACAGCCGAAACAAAGTGATACATATTGATACCTAGATGTACACAGACACCATAGACATCCAATCGAATGATGAAAAGTTTTAAGTAGTTTTAACACTTTCTCGAATTTACAACATTCAAGAATTTTTAAAACATCTCATAAAATAAGTTCTCCATTCCAGTTACATGTAATAAACACTCATCTATCTGTAACTGAATCAACAGCGACTAGTGATTCAATGACGTGAAACAATCACATGGTTGAGTCACTGTCTTCATGAGCTTTTTTTTCTTTTTTACATTTAAGTTCAATTTAAAAAGAAAACTACACTTAGAGGCTATGTATTAGCAGCTCCACCTTGTGCTATTTGTCCTGATCCAGAACCTTCACCGCCGCAACTTCCATCCATTTGCAAATCTGCAATTGAAAAGTTTCATACAGAATTTGGTAAAATTGATTGAGTAAAAATGATTTTAAAGAAAGAAATAATAAAATTGAAGTTCTATTAATTTAGTTTAGCTAATGTTTGCCTTGCATTAAGTAACTTCCTGCAATTATTTCAAAAATGTATTAAACAGACATTTTTTATTAATTTAAAATTTGGTTACATTTTAATAACAAATAAGAAATAACAAATGCAAAAAAAAAAAAAAAAATATCAATAAGTTTCTTTGAGTTTCATTTATGTTTAAGTTTTATTGACGATGGCTGTATTTTCTGACTGATTACATTTAATAATTTTTTCAGGTTAATTAAATTTACATTACCTAGAACTATTCTTAGTTAATATTTATGAGCTTTTTTGAAATTTGTGAGCCCTAAGCCTAATCTGCTTGTCTTTATTTTGTATTGTATACCAATGCAAGAAAATATTTTTACCTTCGATTGTTATGTACTATCATGACAGTTGTTATACAGTAGAAAATCTTATAATGTAAACCTTCAAACATGAGGCTTTAGATTATATAGGTCATTTCCCTTATCAAACTTATTTACTAATTAGATTAATATTAAAAGAGTTAAAAATAATTTTTAAATACAAATACTAAAAAATATGCACATGATTATTTCTTATTATTGAAAAAAATTTAAATTATCAATAGAATTAGGACTAACAAATTTTACAATTTTGATTTACTTAATAATGTGCACCAAATAATTTTTTTTTTTGAAGCCTGTTAAAGTGTTTGCTCAGTTAAGAAATTTTTTTTAGCATGATTTTCATTATTTACAGTGTTTAGAATTGAATAATATAGATCTTTAAACTCTATTAGTGTATGATATACAAGCCATTGATATAGTACTTTATTTGTCCTTTATTACAGCTATTATTAGCAAGCCCTTATCTCCAAGAATTACTTTAAATCTTTTTCTTCTTCTGATATTTAAAAAAGGTAAGAGATAAAGCTTATTTACTTTATCAAATAAAAAATAGTAAAATTAACTTCCAAATTCTGTACAACCTATGCAAATTATTACAGTAAAATAGTTTGCGAGCCAAATTGTGTTTTGATGTTCACAAATAAAATATTACTGTACATACAGGAGTATAAAACAATTTTTTAAACCCCCTGTATACACCTTATATGACAGTAATGAAGTTGGATATCTATTAATCATAAAATATCGATGCATCATAAACAATGTGAGATATGAATAATTATGTATCAATTTATTCCTCCCAAAAACTATTTTTAAATGCATTATATACAAGTAATTTTGCATTTTTTCTCACCACGTTTTTAAACATATAAAGGTTTTTTTAGGAACAATACTTAAATTACATTAAGAAAAAAAATAATTGTTATAATAATTTATTTAAGTGTAATTCAAATACTACAACACCAGGAAAATTTTTTTGAAACAAATATAAAAAGAAACATATCTAGTAAATANCTAATCTGCTTGTCTTTATTTTGTATTATATATTAATGCAAGAAAATATTTTTACTTTCAATTGTTATGTACTATCATGACAACTGTTATACAGTAGAAAATCTTATAATGTAAACCTTCAAACATGAGGCTTTAGATTATATAGGTCATTTCACTTATCAAACTTTTTTACTAATCAGATTAATAATATTAAAAGAGTTAAAAACAATTTTTAAATACAAATACTAGAAAATATACACATGATTATTTCTTATTATAGAAAAAAATTGAAATTATCAATAACAATAGGACTAACAAATTTCTAAATTTTGATTTACTAAATAATGGTTTAGCAAATATAATTTTTTTTTTAAGCCTGTTAAACATTAGCTCAGTTACAGACATTTTTTTACCATGATTTTCATTATTTACAGTGTTTAGAATTGAATTATATAGATTTTTAAACTCTATTAGTGTATGATATATAAGCCATTGATATAGTACTTTATTTGTCTTATACTACAGTTATTTATTATTAGCAAGCCCTTATCTCCAAGAATTACTTTTTTTTCCTGATATTTAAAAAAGTTAAGAGATAAAGATTTACTTTATCAAATAAAAAATAGTAAAATTAACTTCCAAATTCTGTACAACCTATGCAAATTATTGCTGTAAAATAAGTTTTTAACCCAAATTGTGTTTTGATGTTAACAAATTTTCACAAATAAATTATTACTGTACATACAGTAGCATAAAACAATTTTTTAAACCCCCTGCCAGTAATAAAGTTGGATATCTATTAATCATGAAATATCGATGCATCATAAACAATGAGAGACATGAATAATTATGTATCAATTTGTTCCTCTCAAAAACTATTTTTAAATGCGTTATATACAAGTAATTTTGCATTTTTTCCCTCCACATTTTTAAACATATAAAGGTTTTTTTAGGAACAATACTTAAATTACATTCAGAAAAAAAAATAATTGTTATCATAATTTATTTAAGTGTAATTCAAATACTACAACATCAGGAAAATTTTTCTGAAACAAATAGGTATAAAAAGAAACATTTAGAAAATAAGAAGTCATAAAAAAAATTATAAATTTAATCCTTTGAACTCTAGTCCTCAAACATTTAGCTGCAACAAACAGGCAGTTTCTTCTTATACAATGATAAATGCTTAGTTGGGAAAATTTTGTGTAGTTTTGCCCTAAGTTTTGTACTACCTTTTTTTAAAAAACAAATTAGTTCATTAGAATCGGAATCTAGACTACTTAGGTGATACTTAAAACCTAGAATACAGGACCTTTAAGTGAAATATAAGAATCATTGTTTTTCAAAAATAATTGGATTCCATGAACTTTGCTGAGACAACTCATAATTTGATTGTTATATTTATTTACGAGTTTCTTCTGAAGGAATCCAGTAGCAGTGGGTTTTAAAAAAATGTTTAACAAGCATTTTTTAAAGACTTTATAATTACATCAGCAAATTTATTCTTTAGCAACATTTCTTACAAAAAACAAAACATGAATTAAACAAATTTAATATTTTTAATAATGTAGTAACTAATTCAATGAACGATTTCTTTTATAAAAGAAAAATAATTATCAAACCAAAGAAAGTAATACATTAAGCTAAAACTTTAAAGTATTAAAACTTTAAATTAACGCTACATTTCAACCCAGCTCACAAAGTATACAGAATTCATGATATTTTCTTACTTCCCGATAATTTATCAACAATAAGCAATAACAATGAATTCATAATAATTTCTTACTTCCCGATAATTTATCAACAATAAGCAATAATAATGAATAATGTAAACTCTTAGTTACCATGCCAACGCAATTCAAAATTTCATGCAATTTTTTTCCTTCTAATTATTATATTTAATACCGAAAGTTTATTAAATATTAAAACATAATGCACTGCAATATTACTAAAATTAATTTCTTAATTTGTTACCTGAACAAGATAATTTTTGTAAACTATCGGGCAAAGATGCCGTGCTGACAGCGGCACCTTCGGCTCGAATATCCGGCATTGCATTTCTTCTTCCCGTTCGTCCTGTTTGTAGGAAATCATCAAAAGCCGGGGAAGTGGCTGCACTTTCTACTTCCATGGCCATTCAATCAGATAATGAACTAAACTGTAAAATGAAATGTTATTACTTGGAGTAATTTGTAGCTGCAAGATGCGTAACATTCAGATAAATAAATTGTGTTAAATACGAAGGAGTCCGCGAAGAAGTTGGATTCCTGCCATAGCTGAAAATATAAAATAGATGACGCGATCAACAATGACGAAATTCATTGTTTAATATTAATGGCGCCATCTAGGTGCTTATATTGAAATAATCTTCAAAAAATCTTGGAAGAATAAGGGGATTCAACATTTTTCTTTTTTAAGTTCTTGATAACAGAGGGCGGACATTTAAGGGACAGGAAAAACGTAGGTAGTACAGGTAACGTAAAAGAACAGCAAGATTAAACTAAATAATAATGGAATAAAATTAATTGAAACTACGTTGACTTCATTGGAGAAAATATTTTTATTTCTGTCAGATCTGAAATGAAAATTGCGCATTACTTTCTACTGACAAATATAAAAACATTTTCGTCGCTGCAGTTTCCTTGAAATATGGTGGTTTTTAAATGTTTTTTAAATTTCATTATTGATATTACTTTCTCTTTAATTTTGTGTCTGTTATAAAATGTTGAAAAAATGCCGAAATTTCGTTTGACAAAAGATTCTATTCGGCGATTATGTGGTAGTGATATAAATTCTGCTTGTTTCAGTCAGGAAATGATTGAAATTTTTATTATCAGTAGACACAGATTTCCAGTGGAAATTTGTGAACTTTAGTTAGTCCAAAAGTGGTCGGTGTCGTCATAGATGATAAATTACTGAAGGTGATATATTTTATTTATAGATAGCGGTCAGGAAACAATGAAAATTACCATTTCAATTAAGCACTGAGTTCCCGTAAAGATTGGAGTTTTCCAGTCTAGTTATGTTAGTCCCTATGTCAGTAGAATCAGTGCAATCAAATATTACTGAGCCATGGTTCCAGTCATGGCCGTCTTAATGGCATGCAGGGCCCCCGGGCGCAAAAATATTTCAGACCCCTATAGCCTGCCATAATATTTAAAAACTAACTAAAAAACTTCACGTACATAAAATAAATCATTTTCAAGATGCAATAATTTTAACAAATTTAAACACGTTATGATTACCCAAAAAAACTCCAATAAAGCTATGCATAATTTTTTTAAAAAAAATGAGATGCTGGCCAGTTGTAATCCTCAACTAATAAAATAATTTTCAANGTCGTCATAGATGATAAATTGCTGAAGGTGATATATTTTCTTTATAGATAGTGGTCAAGAAACAATGAAAATTACCATTTCAATTAAGCACTGAGTTCCCGTAAAGATTGGAGTTTTCCAGTCTAGTTATGTTAATCCCTATGTCAGTAGAATCAGTGCAATCAAATATTACTGAGCCATGGTTCCAGTCATGGCCGTCTTAATGGCATGCAGGGCCCCCGGGCGCAAAAATATTTCAGACCCCTATAGCCTGCCATAATATTTAAAAACTAACTAAAAAACTTCACGTACATAAAATAAATCATTTTCAAGATGCAATAATTTTAACAAATTTAAACACGTTATGATTACCCAAAAAAACTCCAATAAAGCTATGCATAATTTTTTTAAAAAAAATGAGATGCTGGCCAGTTGTAATCCTCAACTAATAAAATAATTTTCAAAACCATGGAAGTTAGTTAAAATAATTAAATTGAATAAACATGAAGGTATAAAAAATCAAAAAAGAAAATTCGAAAGGTATGAATTATTTTGTCAAACTGTTGTTAAAACATCTTTCAATGTCCAAGTACCTAAACTTTTCACGAATTTTAGGTTGCCTTTTTAAGTGTTCTTGGTGATAAACTATTCAAAATATTAGTGTTTGCAAAATAATGAATTACTATTTGTAGAAAAAAATGCACACTTAATATTTATTTCGAAAAATACATAAGGCAATGTTGTTCATTAGCTTCATTTTTAATACAGCTTACAAAAATTAAGATTCTCAAGGGCCCCCTGGGTGCCTGGGGCCCTTGAATGGCCCTGCCCGCGTATGCCCATGCGTAAAGACGGTACTGGTTCCAGTTAATTGGAAATTTATTGAAAATTTGATTGCAAGATTCTATCTTCACAGACAAGAAAACGAGTGAATAAAAACATAGTAAAAAATCACGAATTTTCTCCTAATTGTATTATTATTAGACTTAATAACTTTTTGAAACTCTTTTCATTCGATCAAAATTTAATATCATAGCTGCTAATCTTACTGGATATTCCAGTAGAGAACTGAATTTTGCCAGTTTCTCTTGGTGTAATAAAAAATTCTCCTGTTTTTAGCATATTTTAAAAAATTCTCTGAAATTGGAACATTTTCCAAAAGAAAAAAAAAGAGATTAAAATAGAATTTTATAAGCATCGGATTATTTTTGCAAGAGTATTTAAGTACGACTGCTAAAATGTATCGTAATTTGTTTGAAGCGTTTCGTATATCAATGTTCCAAAATGTTTAGTTTTTATGTATTCAAAACTTGTTTCTAAATTAAAGAATATTATTAATAAATTTAACTTGTTAAAACAAGCTATAATGAACTCAATAGCGATTTCTATTCAAATTCTTAAAATTTATAGTCTGAAAGAAATATGCAATAGAGGCACGGATTGAATTTGTAACCAGAGTTTATTCTTGCTTAAAGATAGATGCTATTATTCTAAATGGTAGATAGCTACAGACATTTGAATACTATCAGTATTTGTTTTCATATTAGTCCATTCCATCGAAAAATATCACGTAATCTCAGAATAAGAATTAAATGTTCATACGATCTCTCGCATGAACTTAGAACATAAAATATACAGGCTCAATTTTATGCAGGGCCTTGAACCACTCAAGCTTTTAATTTACCATTTTATCTTCACCTTTAGTCCAAAAAAGTAGTTTTCTCTTATCGCCTCGGCCTAACTTCGTTGCCCACAATGGACAATCCATAAAACGGATTTTGAAACAATGCAGTCACGCAAACGATTTGAATGCAGGAAGAACGAACTTTTTTTATTTTTTATTCTGGTAACTTTTTAAGGAATCTCGTTTCGTTTAAGTAAAGACAAATACTCAAAAAATTGGTCGCTGGTTTACTGGGTTGAAACGGTGGGTTCAATGACCAGAGCACCGAACTGGGTTAGATATTTTTAATAGAGTACGTTTTATCTCATTTATAAATAGAAATAAAACTATCAAACGATAAATTAACAATAAATTAGCAGATAATATAACTTTAATTCTCTGAATATTCGTATCAGCTGATTTAAAACTTATTTAATTTTAAATTTAATTTTAATTAAATTTAAATTTATTTAAAAATAATTAATAGTGTTCGTAAATTTGTATTAATGTTAATACAAATTTACGATAAAATGTTCAATTAAGGAAGGATAAATAATTTTGAATTATAGAGTTGAGATTAGCGATATGTATGATTGTGAATTAAAACTAAAATGATCGTAAATTAAAACTATGACCTGCATCACATTTGGCACCTCAGAAATTTGTGTTTTAGGTTTCTTTTAAGCGGAATTTCTCCCCATTTAATCTTAAAACTTTTCTGCATGACTATTATTTTTATTTTTTTAATGGAAAGATGATACAGTGTCCTGCTTCAGCTTAAATTTTGGATTATGTCACATAAAATGAAATAATTTAAATTGGTGCAAAAAATTGAATACCTTAAATTTTAAAATTTTTCACTCATTATTAAAATAAATGATAAAAATTAATTTAAATAATGGATACTAAATAAAGATAAAGAAGAATAAACAATCTCAAATTATTTTGCATAAAATTATCTGTGGATAAATGACTTTTGAAATTGTGTATCAAAATTTTGGTATAAATTATTTAATAGAAGGTTGGTATTTGATAATAGTAGGTCCGTATTTGGTAATAGTAGGTTGGTATAAATTAGTGTCAACTGTTAATTTTTTTGTAACGATTAAGTTGTAGCTTTAAGTTTTATTTAATGAGAACTATTTAACCAATTTAATCCGTATTTTATATTTTGGATTATGATTTTATAGTTTCAAATCACAAAAGATTTTATTTTCTTATTAATCAAACATTGTCTGACCAGCACTAAATTTCGCAGTCATAAAATATCAATTATTTTTAAATAATTTCTTTTTACTTAATTTCTTTTTATTTAGTATAAAATTATTTATTTTTGGGAAATTATTTTTAGGCTTACGAGTTTTATTAATTGTGTGCAAACACTTTGGATCAAACGATTCGTTAAGAGTTGAAATATTGCTTTTTTTTTTTTTTAAATTTTTGTTTTGTTTATGATTATGAATTTAATTTTACAGCTTTTCCAAATTTAGAAATAGTATTACATTAGAGATCCTAAATTCAAATTTGATGAAAAAATTTCTTTATCGTGATAAAAAACATATAATTTGACATTATTTACACACGATAACTTACATCTTATAGCTTTTCATAGAGAAGTTTTCAAAATTTTTAAACTGGAAAATTGAATTAAGAAAAGTTATTAATGGCAATTTTCATCTCATAATAAAAATAACATGTCTTTCATCAATACATATTTGCACCACAGAATCAAATATAGCAGGGTGTTTCATTTGATTTGCACGTGGTCTATTAAAAATTTGCAGTTTTTCTGTTTTGATTGCTTAAAGAATTTGATGATTTAAGTTTATACAATATGATCAAATGTTGCTTGATAAAAAATTTCATTCGCTTCAAAAATAAACAAATTAGAAATAACAGTCGACATGCTTCAAGTGCTCAAAAACTAGTAATCATTTTCAAGACTTGCCAGACTATAATAAGAATAAGAATAAGAATAAGCAAAAGTGGTTTGAAAAATGAAGCTTACCGTTTTATTTTTGTCAACGAAAAATAAAGGTAAGAAAAAACTAGAAAAACAGCTGCAGCCGAGAGAAAAAAAAAAGATTAAAAACAGATATAGAAAAACTACAATGGTCCGGTGGAGCAAGTCATGTTAAATTGCATTTCCACGAGCTATGAAAAGGTGACGAGGAACTAATGTCGTTAACAAGGTAATCAGTATCCATGTGAATAAAACAAGGTTCCAGGGCATCACTTTTGCTTCTTCTCATTCACATCTGACAAGTCTTGAAAACGGATGCCAGTTTTTGCGCGCTTGAAATATGTCGACTGTTATATCTAA